AACCTGTACTTTATTATCTGATCGTAGTCAGGTTTTAAAAACAAATAATGGAAATATTAAAACCAGTAAATATGTACTTTCGATTTTGCTTCTTAGCTACGGAAGCTTTATGATTTTAATTATTCTTGTTATATGCAAATACAATGCACAAGATTCGTTTTAAAATCTTGAATTTAATCAATCCTAAAACCAAATGTAAACAAATCTTTTTATTTAACCTAACTAGGCCCTTTTTCTTTATGTGAGTTTAAAGGGGCTGGATAAGAAATTTGCCCGCGGGACGCTACGCGCACAGTTTGTGTTGATCTTTGGGTGAAAGATCAATCTTGTCATTGGATTTTTTATAGGAAAATTGCCTACAGCAATCTTTCTGCATAGCTTTGAGCACAAGAGGAGCAAGTAGTAAAAAAAGGGAATTGTAAAGAGGATAGTCGTTTTTATTATTTTATTGATATATTTTGTACGTGCGCATGGAGAAAAGGAAGAGGAGAAGGCCGAATTTGACGGAGTTTGCTGCAAAGAAACAAAGACAGTCTGTTCGATCATGGCAAAGTTTGCACAGGAGGATATATTTAACAAACCAAGTGTTTGAGCAGTGGTCCTTATTGAAAGCAACAGGCACATTCTCAAGTGATTCTGTTCTTGCTTCCCACCTTATATCCTTGGAATTTCGCCGGAGAGACAGGTAATAATCGCCTAGATCATGTTCCTTTTGCCATGGCCTAGACCTGATCTATCATGTATTGACTGAAAAACCTTTTTTAAGGCATTGTTTTAATTTAGTAACGCTAAAATTGATTTCTTCTTCTGAAATATAAAAACTATTGTTATGTCAGTGTGCATTACCTGTAGTTTACAGTATGGAATAGACCTTGATCTTGACCTAACCTGTTTCTAATGCCTTACGCAAAATTGTGAAAAATAAACAAACTTCATTTGGGCACAAACCTAAAACCAACAGTTTGATGGTCAATGTAATCCCTAAATTATTGACTGAATTTTCAAATTGGTAAACTCGTTTAACAGTGTCAAACCTTTATTTTTAGGTACAAATATTGTGCTGCTGGTTCAGATAACAAAAGAGATGATGCAAAGCCCAGAATAAATAATCTGAAAAATGGAAATACAATCCAAGAACAAATAACTGGACAATCAAGAAGCTGTTTAATGAAAAGGACTATCCTTATGTCCCAATGATAATTGCAAGATTCTAAGAAAACAAATTTCAGAATATGGAGATTTAAATAAAAAGACTGTTCTGAAGGAAAGTGACCCAAGAAAGATTGCTGCCACAATTGGAAAATCTCCTCCAGAGCCTACTGCTGAAATTGCAAAACGATATGTTAGCAGGCTTGACTTTGCAAAAAAATAGATCATGTATATATTTAGAGTAAAGGTTTTATGCATTTTATATTTGCCAGAATTTTCAAGAAAATTGCACACTCCTGAAAATTTTTTTTGCAAAAAACAATAGAATAAATTTCAAACATGATGTTTAGATAAATAAACAAGCTTTCCTAAAACAAAGTGAAAATTATGGCGAAAACAGTGTTGATGCCCAGTGCTGTGTGTCTTTTTGTTAATGTTAATGTTCTTCGAAACCCATATATATATGCCAGTTGGTGAGGGGTTATTGCTCCTGATGCATAAAGCAGCACAAGATGGGACCACCTTGCGACTGCCTTTCCAAGATAGACATGTTGCCACAAGGCAATTGTGTGTATCCTGCCTTGCAAAATGCATGTGTGCTGTTGTCTCTTCTGTCATTTCTGATGTCTGTGGTATTTTTTATCACCATTTCTAAGTTTTCTGGATCAAGGCAGAATTTTGAAAATTTTCTCCTTGACGTAATGCATTCAGCTTTATTGCAACATTTATTTTCAATGTCACGTTGCATTTCTCTGCATTTTCTACACTTATACCACTATGGCAAGTTGGGGTCATTTGACTGAATGTCTCTCTGCTGTGCATCTTCCTGTAAAACACTCTCTGCTGTGCATCTTCCTGTAAATTCCATGCTACCAACTCCACATTTATACTTAACAGAGACCAACTTCTTCAACTCTTTGATTGGCAGGGTCTCGATGAAGTTCTGTTTGAAACAATATAATAATGTGATTTGACATGCGGCCCTAACTAAACTTGCTTTAAAAATTTCCTTGAACAGCCAAAATATTATTTAAAAAAAATTTTGAAAATTTCCTTGGCTATTGAACTTTTTGAGTATAGTTTGAAAAGTTATATCCTACAAGAACTAACAAATAGTTCTAAGGCATGCAAAATTTGCATAACTTTACCTAAATTTATTCATTAGAATTATTTTTGTTTGACGAAAAAGATACTCAGGCTTGCTAAATTCTCTGCTTGCCAAATTTCCTTTGTCTAAATGTTGGTATATTCTTAGTTTTTATTTTAGCAAATTATTAACTGTAGGTATGCTCTCTGGTGCTGTATGTAAATTTAGTTGTTTATTAACCAGAATATACACTTACCTCCACAACAAGGTTTTCTTGTTGGTCTTCTTCATCTTTACCAACACTCGTTTGTTGCATTATGTGTAGGTGAATTAATATGCACCTGAAGAAGAGTAGAAACATATGGCCATTTGAAAAAATATCTTTATGTGTAGAATCAATGACTAAATATGAAGGGTTCAACAAAATGTTAGTAGAATCTTGTATAGTAGAAACTTTATTGGAAAGTTCTTGTGACCCCTTAACCCTCCTGGGCATTGGCGGATCTACAGGGGGGGCCGGGGGGGCCATGGCCCCCCCCAAACGATTCGACAACGAGAAACTTTGAATGAAAAGACAGTAAATACATTAACTAAACATGTAAATTGATAAGGTAAAAGTTTTTGCATAACAAGAAACTAGTTGTTTATATAACTAACAAACCAAAATTACTTATTACATTACATGAGAACACTAACTGCGAGCATAGAAACATGAGAGCTTTGATTGAGTAATTTTGTGGAAATCAGTGATCCCAACTGATGTCAATATATTCAGAAAAGAATTTGAAAAGGAAGTAGCTATATCGTAGCAAAAACGTTATCGGAGATTTTGCCTTTGAAACGAAAAGCTACATGCGAGCTCATTTTGCGCGAGAAGTGGTGTGTTTCAATGTTGAGTATTGCGATATAATAGCAACGTCATTTTGTCCATCTTTTAACTACTTACAGCTTTAATGGGATTCGTCTTGATTTTAATGCTGCGAATGAGTCAATGAGTTTATCGCTCGTTGGTGTTCTGTCACGGTGAACTTGCAGAAGAAGTAGGGATTCTAATCTCTCCTCAGACATTGTTGACCGAATTGCTGTAAGGGTACTATTCAGTTTAGAAAATAGTCGTTCGGGTTCTGCTGTTGTCACCGGTAGCACAGTGAGAATGTTGAGTAATGTATGCAAATTAGGAAATACATCACCTTGGCAGTCGCCTAAAGCGCCGATAGCGGTATTTGCTACTGTACTTGTTCCACGTGACAGCCATTGCTGCTTCCAAATTTCATACTCTCCTTCAACAATGGACAAGGGGTCTAAAAAGACTCCGTATTTTAGTGCTGCAGGCAAAATATCTTGCCAAGTTGATTCTTTGACGAAACAAGGCAGAATTCTTGTAAGCGTCGCAATCTTCTGCTGATGGGGACCAAATCTTGCTTTCATATCTCCAGCCACTTCATCAAGAAGAGGTAAAAACACATTGATACGATAATAATCAATGGCTTTTTGATTGGCTTCACCTGCATTTGATCTGAACCTGGATTGACTGACTGCTCGAGGAATTGCGTGCATCTCTTCTCTGGTCACTCCAATATTTTCGCCAAGAAGCATTGCCTCTTCAAACATCGAAGCAAACTCATTTTCTTCACCTTTACGCCACGTGTAAAGCTTTGACTGTGTCGCAGAAATCGTCGACATTGCTTTCACAAGATCGCTACCAATTTGTTGCAAAGAACGGGACACTGGGCGAAGTACAGCAGACACTTTCTCGGCCAATACTAGCGCTACAAGGAACTGAGGGTCTTGCAAACTTTTTAACAATCTCCTGGCATCTTTTCTTGTATCTAATGAGTCCCAAGCGAGCATTTCCTCCAAGCACACAACGATGTAAGGCAAAAGCTGTCGTGCAACCAAAACTGATTCATGTCTTTCGACAAATCTTGTTTCACAGAGGGTCACCAACTGCCGTCGCTGAAACTCTTCAATTGATTCTCGTGCTATGACTGCTTGCAAATAGCTGTTTCTTTTCGCATGCTTGAAGAAATTGTTGATATCTTTGATGTCATCCATGCAATGTCTGATTGCTGGTATCTTTGCGGCTCGAGAACAACTTAGATTTAGCGCGTGCATGCAGCAGTGGAAGTAGTCAGCGAGTGGCGCAGCAGATTTGATAAAGGAACAAACACCAACTCGCTCACTGGACATCGATGCAGCACCATCATATCCTTGACCAACGAGGTACTGCAAATCCAACCCAAGCTCACTTATATGGCGGAGTAGAGTCTCCCCTATTGCCTTGCCACATAGCTTAATTTCATTGTGCTCTGTTTCATCTGATTGGTCACTGCTTTTATGTCTGCAATCAGGTCTAAAATTGCGACCGGTTCTTCTTTGATAATTTTTGGCACATTTTTTGTGTCAACGTAACGAATTGCAATGACCAACTGTTCTCGTTTCGCACAATCTTGGGTTTCGTCGGCCATTATTGTCCAGAATTTTGCATTTTTTACATCTCTTACTATGTCCTCTTTGACAATATTTCCTGCACAGGCAATTAGCTCGTTTTGTATCGTTTTGCTTACCAAAGAAGCATTGCGTTTGCAAGATTTCAAGTGATCTTTCAAGTTTGTATCTCCTCCCCGTACTCTCAATCGCAGCAATGCCCTGAAGTTTCCATCATTGTGCTTGGGTTCCATCCCAGTTGAATCTACTGGTCCATCATCACGATGGCCTCTAAGCGCAATATTTTGCCTGGCGCATGTTAGAAGGGTGTCGATGATGGGAACCAGCGCAGTCCTGTTCCTTTCAATCTCTTTCTGCCTTTCAATGTTCATTATTGATCGAACGTCCTTCTCACTCCCAGGTGTTGCACGGCTCAAGAACTCCGTGTACTTTATGGCACATGTCTTATGAAAAGATGTTTCTTGGTGACTTGTGAGGGCTCCATTTTTCCCTGTCAAGTCTGAAAAGTTTACAAGAGGCTTGTTAACAAGTTTGCCCATTGACTGGCCTGCTCCACCTCCGTATTGTGCACCTCTTCCACCTCCACTCTCGCACGTCTTGAATAAAACGCAATAAACACACCAAGCACCGCAACATTTTGGCTCTCTGCTGACAGCTAGCCAGGGGAAGGTTTTCAAGTGATTTTCACCCAGAAAACGCTTCGTTGTCGAGGACATACCAACCATGAGCTGATTCTTTGGTTTTTTCTTTTCAGAAAATGGATATTCATCCCTTCTCTGCGGCACCCACCTCTTCGATAAATATGCTTCCCTTTCGTTATCTGTCAGCTGTTCTCCTCGTTTTGTTTTCATTATAGCTCTACCAATGTCATATCTATCAGATATTGCAACATTTACTTGTGTCGCCATACAACAGAGGTCTGGGTGTGTTTCCTCTTCAGGACAATCCTGGACTACCGCAACTTGGCTTTGTGTGTCGAATTCTTCACCAGTAGATTTTGATTCAAATTCTTGGCAAGTGGTAGTTTCACATGTTTTAGAGATTTCAGGGTTATCTCCAACTGAACTGGTGCGGCTACTTTTTGAGAAGAATGATTCAAGAGTTCTTGATTTCTTTGGCGGACCAGACATTTTAATCAAACCTCCAGTCGGCTTTATTCTCTCGCTTTCAGTGAGGCAATAAGTTGCAAGTGGATGTGTAACACAAGAATTATGATAAGCCTAAAACAATAGTTCAATGCAAAATTAGATGTGACCGGATCTCGCGGCTCATATGGACTATGGTTTAACACAAATCATGACTGCGATCATGAATGAATGACGTCTGCAAACGTTAATGGTTGAGAAAGTTATGGCTAAAATGGGTTACAGTTCAAACATTGTTCATCGTGTTATTGCGATTGTGATACCCAAAAAGCGTCACTATTTCCAACAAAAGCAAAACAGTACCTATAACTACTCAGCTTTGCCTGTTATGCTGCGATGAATTTTTGGTGACTACCCATTTTGAAAATTTACCATTCAAATTATACGCACCAAATACGTGGGGACTTTTGCTCATTTTCTAAATCTTTTTTTCATCTTAAGGGTACGTGTCTTATGCCGGCTTCTTGAACACAGGAATTATAATGTCATTCACGAACTCTGATGCGTCATAGTTCCCCTCCCAAGTCAAGCGCGAAAGCTGCTGACCAAATATTCAATATGAATATTTGTAAAGGCTGAAATACACGATCAGTTTTTTATGTCAGTTTTCCCCAAAGTTATTTCTATATCCGTTTTTCATCAGTTTAACTAAAGAAGCGCGTGTTTACACGATTAGCCAAAGTTCATCAATTTTTCATCATGTATTTTAGCCTTTACTTCGCTTGGAAGTTTCTCGCAGCAATGAAGTTTCTTAATTTTCAGTGTTCTGAGAGTGTACCTTCTTATGAAATTTTTTGATAGAAAGGGGCGTTTCCCGCGTTCGGTGAGACTTTGAAGGGCGTGTCTGTGAAATTTTCGCAGGCCTCCTCTTCTTTCATAAATGGCCCTCCCCAAACGCAGACGCTGGATCCGCCCCTGTCTTCAGCAACAAACGCATTAGTGAAAGGTCCGGTCAAGTCCCCGGCGGGCACAGTCAGTTGGTCCAATGTATATCATGTGTTCTTGAAAGTAGAAACTGGAGCCCTATCTCTGATTCTGGGATGCGTAAAATAAACCCTATTCTGTGACTTTGCCAAAATTGTGAAACTCTTTTCACTGAGAATATTCTAGCTTGAGCAGGAATTTTTGATACCAATTCATGTTAGAACCACTATTTTTCTTAAACTTATGACTAGGCAAGTTAAAAAACAGAGTTCACTAAATTTGATTTCAACAACAATCCCTTGTGGTTCTTGACATATATATTAACAAAATCAGATATCTGCAAAACTATAACTGCAACATATTGCTTGCTTCACAACATTGTGTTCAATTCTTTTTATGAAGAAATGAAAAAGTTGTGTCCCTAAATTAATTTTCCCTAATTTCCAACCCCTTACTTTGGTCTGTCTTAAAGGAAGTTTTATCTTATCAAAATTGTGATACTGTTTGTTACAATCGGTACCTTGACCATTGATGTACTTTTCCGGCTTGTTTAGCTCCGCCTTAAATTATTAAAAATTGACCCCTTTATTTAAAATTGCTTTTTTATTTTGCTGTTCAGCCAAGGAAGGTCTTGTCCCATTTTGTTGCCAACTTAAAACAAGAACAATCTTTAGATAATCCTTAGATAATCCAACATTCCTTTATGTTAGCTTGTTTCAGAACATCATTCCCAAAGAGATTGACTCAAAACTTTTGTGTACAGTCTGACGATAGGACTTGATAAGAGGTCTTGACACAATTATTCATGGTTTTATTCTTTGGGAGACCTTTCTAATAATTGCGACTATCTCATGATCACTGAAAGATGAACTTAGGAAAAATGATTATTAATCATTGTCTGGACAAGTAGAGGCAATCATAAAAATCAACGTACTGGTTTAAGATGCTATTCAGCTGCTTAAAAACATAGCTTGTTACGAAATTCATCATTCTGATCTGCATCTTCCAGATAATAAAAATTGTTTTTCGCCCGTTATGAGTTTTCCATTTTCTTCTGAAATGACAGTTTCTAACATAATATCAAATTATCATTCAATATCGTCTTATAAATTCTGAGCGTTTTGTAGTAAATTACAAGGAACAGTATAAAATACTTTTTTTAATTCAAAACTGGAGAAATGGTAGGAAAAGAGGAGATAAGAAAACGATTAAAGAAGATCGCGCAAAAATGATGAAGAGGCAAATGAATCATCGTTTTCCAAATGATGACAAGAAGACTGATAAGGATAACTAGAAAACTGATAACGATCTTGTTTCTGATAAATCTCTAAATATCTTCCCTAAAGAGAAGGGCTTCAACCATTGCTAACTTGCTAGAAATATCTGTTCTTTCAACCATAACTAATAATGTTTACAACACTCAAGATAACCGCGACGCCTACATACATACAATCAATAACCATCACCAGACCCATTTAGAGGAAGGGAAGGCCGGGCATTTGCCGGAGGGTCAAGAAAAATATTCACGTACCGTCTAAGTTTGTCTATATTTCTACCAGTTAAGTTTAGATTCAGTTCACATTCATTTCAGATTGGGTTCAGATTTGGTCCAGATTATGTTCAGGTTTATACTTTATAACATACGTCTAAAACACTAATTGCATAAAATGACTACGAATCACATTAACCAATTAATAATTACATATGATGAATAACAATTATATAAAGTGTTGCATGCGTGGGAATTTCTTTCAGAGGAGCAACTATTTTTCTGCGATAGTTTGAATTTTTTCACATATTTTTTGCGAGTGACCAAAATATTAGTTCATTTCAAGAATAAACTTCGATGGTCCCCGTGAAAAGAAAGGTTCTGAGTTTTTGACATATGATTTCGTAAAATCTCGAGCTGGTACTTTATTGCTTTAGCATTGGATGGTGATGAATGAAATGTTAATGCGTTGGCTGTAGTGTGGTATTGTGTGCTATGGTGTTGTGTGGTTAGATGTTTTGCTTGTACTGTATGTTCAAGTATTGTATGGAAGTGACTGTAGTGGTATTCTGTTGGCTATAGTTTGGCATTGTCTGCTATGGTATTTTGTCGTTAGATTCCTGCTAGTACTATATTCTATTATGGTTTTATAGCTTAGTGAATGTCATGACATTGCGTTTGTATGCTATTTTATGCATGGTTAGATGCTGTGCTTGTACTGTACGCAATGGTTTTGAATGTGGTGCTACTGCTTAACATTCATTTTTTATAAGAAACGAAGTCGACATTTAGTACTCCCGTTTTTTAACAGTTTAAGAAATTCCAATAATCTTTGTTTCATAGGAGTTAGTTAACAATGACGTCATCTACTTCAACATTTGATTTCCTAGATTCCGCTTCTGTTTAAATGCTGTACTTACATTTGTCTAAATTGTTATGCCAACCAGCAAGTCAGGTTGATGAATTTTTAAGAAATTTCTTTGTCATCTCCTTTTCAAAATTAAATTGTTTCTTATCTTTTTTGCCCAGTACTCGTTTCTTATAGCGAATGAAAATTTCTAATAAAAACGAGTGTATGCTACATTATTGCAAAGTATTGTATAGTATTAGTATTAGTATTAGTATTAGTATTAGTATTAGTATTAGTATTAGTATTAGTATTAGTATTAGTATTAACATAGCAAAGCATAGCATAGCATAGCATAGCATAGCATAGCATAGCATAGCATAGCAAAGCATAGCAAAGCATAGCAAAGCATAGCAAAGCATAGCAAAGCATAGCATAGCATAGCATAGTATAGAATAGTATAGTATAGCAAAGCATAGCATAGTATAGCATAGGATAGTATAGAATAGTATAGTATAGCATAGCATAGCATAGCATAGCATAGCATAGCATAGTATAGTATAGTGTAGTATAGTATAGCATAGGATTTTATTGTATTGTATTGTATTGTATTGTATTGTATTGTATTGTATTGTATTGTATTGTATTGTATTGTATTGTATTGTATTGTATTGTATGTAATGGTGTGAAACTGTATGTGAAACTGTATGTGAAACTGTATGTGAAACTGTATGTGAAACTGTATGTGAAACTGTATGTGAAACTGTATGTGAAACTGTATGTGAAAGTGAAATGCTTCAATGAAAAGTGCAAAACTTACCAAGCCGTATTCAGAACAGTTTTTATCCTTGGCCTAAATTTTAGGCGCTCCAAACAGCTAACCCTGTTACCTTAATCTATTATTAAATAATAACTGTTATTTATTGATATTTACATCTAAACTATTTTCTTCTATCTATATTTTATCAATTATTTTGTGATATATCGAGCGGTCCAAATGATGGCACATCAACACAGAATCTATTTGCTCTACATGAAGTAAAAATGACACAATTTCCATGCAAAATTCACAGCAACAAAATTTCACAACATTCACAACATCATTGACATAACATTGTTCTGTTCAAAAATGTGTCCAGAACAAGATAGGCGTAGTTAAGTCAAAAACACATTTTGCCATAGACAAGTTAAAGAAATTTGAAAGAACTACAATTTTTACGCCTAGGTAACCTTCTTATCTTAAATTGCCACAAATATTTAATTATTTCCTATAAGTACACTCGTAAAATCGCCATTAAAGTCAACATCCTAAAGTCACCGCTACATTTACTAGCCTGTTATCTCATTAACAAGACTTCTAAGGGAAGCATAAAGACCTATACACCCTGCTGTTACACCTACAATCATTACAAATATTTCAAAACTTTTCAATTTAAATGACATCTTCTTCCACTTCATTTTTAAATGAAATAAGCAAGGGAGAAAAAAGACAAGCAGTGTGCCCAAAATGGCTCCCAAAATTCCAACAACTGGACCAAAGTAAGGAATGCCAACGGCAATTGCAAGAGCTACACCAACCAGACCAATACGAGTTGCCAGTAGCCAGAGGAAGTTATATCGGCCACCTTTCTTTAAAGTGATGTGCTTCTTTGGGTCCTTACCAAGACAGATCACATCAAATGTGTCTCCTACAACAAAGAAACTCAAAGGGAAGCTGGTAATCCCGTAAACACCAACTGCAGCATTCACCAGAAGTCCCACTGGCTTGGAAAGTAGAACGACATTGTCTGTAACCAGCAAACTAGTTGACATTCCAAACGCCATAGCACCGCATATTCCATAAACCAATTTGATCAAAGTAGCAAGTATAAATGAAACATGAATGGCTGTTGTGATTTTGGCTGGCTGCCTCATACATCCTTCCACTTGTGGAGCTATTGAATGAATAATCATAGTATATAGCCATATACTGATACCCAGAGCGAAAGAGTTCCATTCGAAAAACGAAACTGTTGTAGAGTTGACCTCCCATGCTTTGTAATTGCGAATGAACAGCGCTAGACTAGCCAAGCCTCCAAGCAGAATTGCAAAAGTTGCTAGCAAACTGAGATATGCAAGATGTGACAGCTTTCTCACAAAAAGTGTTGGGATGACGAGAGTAGAGAAAATGGCTGTCATCTCTAGCATTGAAAGCGAAACATACATGGAAAGAACAGCAAAAAAGGCCTTTCCAATTAGAATCAAAATTACAACAGTTGAAGAAAACAGATGAAAGATGAGAATAACGTTCATTAACCGAGCCATTTTATCTCCAAATGCGGCTTTTGCAATCTCAACATAATCTCCACTGGTTCGCTTGCGCCTTCGGCTTCTAGGCGAAATCTCGTACATGCAATCTATGAGCACATGGGAAGTGAAATTGGCTAGCAAGGACATGAGAATAAAAACGATTAACAATGCATAGCCACCACTTCTAATGGCAAAGGGAAGGGCGAACAAAGAGCTTCCAAGAAGACAAGGCAAAAGATTAGCCACAGTTAGACCAAAAGTAGATCCTCGATCATCAGAAATTTTCTCAACGAATGACATCATCACAGATTTAGAGCCCATGACCGATCTGCGGATCAAGCTTTGAGCGACACTTTGTTGCACAATTTGATCATAGTTCCTTTTAACACTGGAATATGAAGATATGAGAAGCGACGGCAAAAACATGGACGCTTGCAGGTCTGTCATTATGGCCGATTGATGGATAGTATGAAGCGGTCCATGCACAGTCTCAGATGGCTCATACGTCCTCTGCTCAGTATCCCCATACTTATGCTCACTCTCCGTGTACGAATGCGACAGCAGTCCGGATCGAATTAGACTTGCTCGCTCATCAGACATCTCGATGCTCTCTCTATCGCCTTCAGAATCGCACATACTGTACCGGGGCTCTGTTTTAAGAATTCGGTTCTCTTCAATTGTTGAGAGTTTTTTGTTGACAATTGACACAACAACATCAGTGTCCCTGAATATGGAAACAAGATAAAGAACCATTTTAATGTATGAAATAAAAACCTTTCAATCTGCATTGTCAAGATCATAGATCAGGGGTTCTCGAGTTATTTGAGCGCCGGGCCAGAAAAACATATCTTTTTTTCTTCGGGGTCCACTGATTTTCAACTTTTAAATAGCTTGTGCCAAAAAAGATACCATAGATAGAATATTATGTTGGGTAGATGGAGGGATTGGCTTATCGTGCTATACAAGACGGATTCAAAAGGGCTGAAGCCAGGAACTTTCAAAGGGAGGGGGTCTAAAAGCTACTAACTGTCGCATAGTATATTAGGCTAGGAAATCAATATCGTCAGGTCCATTTGATGCACTGGAAGTCAGATCAAAAGACGGCTAAATATATTTTAAAGAGAGGCCAAAATCTAATGATTGTATCTGTGTTAAACAAAGGCCGACACCATGTTTAACATTCTTCAAAGCCGTTAAGGTATATGATGAAGAGTAGGGGGCCTAGGCATGAACCTTGGGGAATGCCACTTGTTACCCCTAAGGGCTTGGAACATTCACCATTGATTCTGCAAAATTGTTTACGTTGGGTTATGTAGGATCGAAACCAGTTAATCACATTGCCCTGTGCACCATATCTAGAAAGTTTTTCGAGCAATATTTTGTGATCCACTGTATCGAAAGATCCAATAACATGGTCATATTGATCTTTTGAGAATCAATGTTGTTAAGCCATCCATCAGTACTTTTTATTAAAGACGTGATAGGTGAGTGTAGCTTACGAAATGCATGCTGATTCATTTTTAGCAGTTGTTTCTCTTTGAAATAGTCAATCAGCTGTATTTTTTCAAGAATCCTTGCAAATATTGAAAGAACGGATATAGGCCTGTACTGTAGTTATTCATGTCACCCTTTACACCTGATTTAAAAAATTGGGGTCACCCTTGCAAACATACCAGATATCTGGAAAATTACCTGCGGTGAGTGATGAGTTGTATATTAGTGTAAAGGGGAGGGCAATAAATTCGGATGCATCTTTAGCTAATCTGACAGGGATTTTATCTGGCCCGCTGGCTTTGCCGTTTTTCAGCCCCGTCAGTGCTTCTAAGATCTGCTGATAAAATTTTATAATTTAATATAATTAATAAAATAAAATTTAAGAAAATTTAATGAAAATTGCTGTTTATGGTCTGACATGTAGTGCCATATACATAGACATATTGGCAGAGCTGTACACGCATCGGTGTATAGACAAGACGGTTCTAAGTAGCTACTCTGAGGTTAATGCACTCGAAAGCACCCCTAGCTGTGGAGGGAAAGCACTATTGGAGTTATAGGCCGCCACGAGAATACAGGGCAGTGGCGTGGCGTCAAGGGAAGCTGGTAATGCGCCGCATTCCCTGCAAAATCTGACCAAAAATATTTCTAAAAACGTCTTTTTCGAAACAGAAAACAGTTTCTATCGCTTAAACAGTTGCTTTGACGATTAATTGAGATTTGCACTGTCGCACCCTTGATACACCCATCGGAGTTCAATGAATCCACCTTAGATTTTACCTTGGAAGTAATTTACTAAGCTTCGTGCCCCTGTTTCTAAAGATCCCTTTATTGACTTTGGCTAGCAACCTTTGTTTATATCACTTCTCATTTCCGGGAATGCGGAATTCTGACCGCATTCCCTGATATAAAACGATTGATTTTTCCCTCTTTAAGTGTAAAATTTTGCAAATATTTAGGATAGAAGGTTGTATCAATGAATAATCTATCATGCTAATGAAAGGTTGCTCCAATTTTTTACTCACAGCGTTGAGGATAGAGCTTTGAAAGGGAAGCAACTGATCTCAGCTTGCTTCGTGTTCTCTTGTTCAGCAAGCCAAGTCACGTGACCAGATAATGATCAACAAAGAGCCAGGACATGCGGTTGCCGTGCTGATCCGCATGCCCTAGTTGAATTGAATCACAGCATAAGTCTTCGAAATGTGGATTCAAACAGGTAGAAGATATGGATTATAGGGTTATAGAGATAGAGGAGTATAAGATGATTGCATAAATGTTTTTTTTCATGTTAGCTTGAGTCCCACGTGAGGGTACTCAATTAGTGAGGGTACCCAAATAGGGAGGGTACTCAAATAGGGATGGTACGGGGTAATTCATTTGAACATAGGGGTTTAGGGGGATATCTTTTGACCAAATCTTTTATTTTCTAATTGTGACCTATCAAAAATCCTTATAAAAGTATGAAAAAGTGGTCTATAACTTTCATTTCGAAGTGTGCTGTAGATGTTCTGTTTGGGCATGATAGGATTATAGAGAAAGCGCTATTTTAACTATCAGGTGTTTTTAAAAAACTATAACTTCTGGGGGCTTCGCCCCCTGGTCCCCTACGAGGGCGTTGCACCTTGGCCCCACTGGGGCCTTCAGCAAGCCCCAGACCTCACGCCGCATACCCACTTCTGCAACTCACACTACGCCACTGATACAGGGATGGCGCTATGGGGTGTCATGGGGGGCAGCTTCTTCCTAAAAGTTCCCGATGACACCCCGCTGGCAGCCCAATATAGGAAAAGAACAAGAACTGTTGGCACTTTGAAACTGTTGAATGAGGAATTTACTTTTTTTATAAGATCCATTAAATTGAAGTTCAGGCTGGCTTTTTGACATTCAGTAAAATCATTATAACCATTAGAAATATGACGCTGGATTGTTCTTAACTTGTTCTTAAACCATGGGGGTGTAAGCAGTGCAATTGCTAAATATTGTGCTTAAGTATTCAGGCATCATTTGCAAACAAAGTGCCTCAGCTACAGTTGCCACATTCTAAACTGCCTCAGCCACAGTTGATTCTTAACCTTTTCACCAATTTGAATCAACTAAAAATAACAAATTTGGAGGCTCTTGTTTTTATAAATTATCTTTTTGAGAAAAAAGATTCTATCAAAAACTGTCGCCCAGCTCCATGATTTATTATTATTATTAGGAATCTGAGAGGCATCAAATAACCAGGGCCGCATAGAGGGGGCAAGGGGGCAAAGGGGCAAACACCCATTGGCTTCAAGCCTCTATGGGGCCTTTAAAGTTATGAATTCAATTTTTAAGAATTGAATTAATCAAACATAACAAAAGTATGCCCAAGAATAGTGAAACATTTCAAACAATTGGAGGAGAATGGCTCCAAGAATAAATTCTGCAATGTAATTAAAGCTAAACTAAAGGGCGTTATCACAACAATTTTCTGATGTCTTGCCCCAGGGCTTGTGATAACTATTAAATGGGTAGCCATTTTCACTGTCAACAAGATATTTCCATTATATTCAGACCAAGCGGGGCAAGATGCTTGACCTTATTGTTGTCATCCATCTTTTCAAAAGAAGGTATACACGATTTGATTGGCAGATAAAAACATTTTCATTCGTTTTCAAAAGATTTTAGGATTTAAAGATACTGTAAAGGGGAGTTCAGGAAATATGGCAGCAACCATTTTTATAGTCGTGGTCACTCTAATTTTTCTAAGATTTTTGGCACCAGAAAATAAAACCAACTTGACTTCAGAACTATAAAAAAGTTACTTTTTAGGATATCAAAATTGATAACTTCTCATTGGACAGTATCAAATCTTCAAAGCCTTTTGAGACTTGCTAAGTTTGCAATCTGATAGATGGATGATCTCTGACATCAAATATCTATTTGACAATTCATTGAGAAAATTTTCCGCAGTTCAGAATATCAAAGATAATATCTACTGATCATGAAAGAATGATTCAAATATAAAAAAATCTATCCTGTTTCAGAAACATATATCTAAGTTCCTGTCTAAACAAAACAAAGTCCAGAGATAAATAGGTTTAAAGCTTTTTTCTGGCAACAAATTTTCTTCTGCACAGTTATGTGCAAGGCTCTATATTGTGCACATCTTTTCAGTCAAAAGAAAAAGGAGGTGGTTAGGTTCAAACAAGGCACCTTTCTGGTCATTACTTGATATAATTATTACCTGCTATATTCTGTTGTTTTCATTACAATCCATTTCAATTCTAGCTAAGTGCAGTAAACAATATGGTATTATCGTCACCACATGTAAACATGTGCAATTTATTTGTTGGATTTATGATCGATCAATGTACTTTCCATAATTTATGAACAAGGAGAAGCTTTGACAACATTGCTTACACAAAGAAAACAAAAGGGCCCCATGTAAATTACTAACTCTTTTTTTTCTTATATAGAAATGCATAGCCATAAATAAATTCCTCCCCATCCTACACGAAATAAATAAATACTTCTCTTATAAACACTGCACATATCAGAGTAGTGTTATGAATTTACCAAAAAGTTTTCTATCATAATTTCAGAGTAGTTTAAAATTACGAAAGTACCAAAAAGGATATCTCCCAAAACATCCTTATTAATTTTTATGAGGAAATTAACAAGCACCTTCATATTGCTCAGAGCAAAGCCTGAAATTATAAACCAGTTTTTTAGAATTTCTATTTGCTTCAGTTTACATTCCACATTTAAGTCAAAATCTTGCAGTTTTCATTTTCTTTTCTGCATTTTTCATGGAGAAACATTACAAACAGTCAATTTCTTTTGTATGCCGATGTGAATAATGCAGGAAGTATAAGTCCTCGTATGAGCCCCATTTTGAATAAGCCCTCGAACAAAATTAATTTTTGTGAAATAAGCCTCCACCCTCAAATTTTTTTATCCTGCAATAGGTTTATCCAAATTTAGCTACATTTTCAAGCATGCAGACTTTCTTTAAATAGAGGAGAAAAATTTGGCCTGGTTACATTTTTGACTGCTGCTAAACAAGCCCCACCTTTAAAGAAGCCCCCTGGATATACCCCAATCCCAAAATATTTTCTGAGGATGTATTCAATTGAGTTATATGAAATAAGCTTCTGAGGGTATATTCAAGGACTTAGGAACTTCTGATTTTAACTATTGTATCTAGGGAATACCAATCTAATTTATATGATTGATATGTCAAAGATTCCATAATCTGTGGTAAATTTCCTCTCACTGTAATGCCATTGTGAAAACACTATATATTTGTAATTATTATAGCTTTATGGTGATGGTCTAAACATTTAAGCATTAGAAAGATTTACCCAATAATCTTTTCCATAAAACGAGAGACAATTTCTCAAGGATCATTTTCAATTTCATAAAAACACCTCTCTCCTTGTATCATACCTCCTTGGCAGACAAGACAAGGAAATAATTGCACTAGGGTTCATATCTTTCAGGAAATTTGCATAATAAATTTTTGTGAATTTATGTTTGTTGGTTGAAATTCATATGATAAAGCAATTGCAGTGTTTTCCAAGGTTCTTGTTACTGTGCTCTTTTCTCTTTCATTTTCTCTACAAAATCTAAGGGCCACCAGATAATTGCAGTACATATATTCCGGAGATAATTTTGCAGTGTCCTTTCCTCTTCTATTTGCGAGCAGCTCAAAGTGATTTATCAAAAACCCATCAAACAAATGCCAATACTATAATAGAAAGATCCCCAAGTAGTTCATATCATAACTGATTCCGTTCCGTTGAAACGTATTTACATAGGTCCTTACACAACGCAGCATGCCTGTGGCAACACATTTTTCGGGTGCCTGAGGGCTGAGGTCAGCGACCTATGGCTATTAACACAGAATGAAAGTTTCTAATTTGTACAATCAATGTAGCACTAATAGGAAATCGAAATTTGGGACTGAGTTGAAATTTACCTCGCAACCTCTTTTGAAAGATCGTCGTCTTCGCTATAATCCTGATGCTGAGCCATTGTGGGGCCTTGTTCGTTTTCTTTCACTTTTCTTGACTTGAGAATGCTGAGAATCTCCCACCCGGCAAAAATCAGTGATGTTCACGCAATATGATTTACTTCTGGATTGGAAGTACAAAAATCGGAACAAGTAAAACTTGCTTGGCCACATGCAAAATCTTGCTTGACAAGATGGTTGCGTATTGTCTTACTGAATATAAATTTTCTACACATATGCCCACATGGCCTGGTCTGGGTGTCTGTGCTTGAAAACGAGGATAAGGGGACCTTGGCAACAAAAACCGCGAAAACCTTGTCTCGGAATTCAGTGGTCTCAGATCAGTGGTCATTACTGATAAGGAAATCCAGTTACAGTTGGACAACTTAACGGTTGACTTGGAATTTTTTCTTAGGACCAGACTTGTGAATTTTATATTTTAAGAAGTTTTTTTATTTTAAATGTAAAAATTCTAAACATTAAAATTCACAGGCTGAAGCTGACCCATCCAATCGTTTTCTATTGTGAATCCCGTCTCCACTGGATCCAAATTGCACAATTGCCCCGTTTGCTTTCTTTCTGACGGGAGTTGAATCAAATTACGAACAGGCAAGGTGAATTTCCGGACAAGCAACTTGAAACTTTACAGTTTGGAATAATAATTCCACTATTGATCAGAAAATACTAGAGTGGGAGTTTTTTAAGAAACTACGAGTAGTTAATTCAATAAAAGATTAATAATCTTTCAGTACTAAAAATTCTCAACGCTTCTTATAAAAACGAGTTTATGCTAAACTCCCCCTGTTATTTGTTTGACTCCTTATCACAAATTCCTATGACAACTGCTGTAAAGCAAGAACACATTGCAAAAACTGCAGTAGAAGTATTTGATCAAAGAAGAGTGTTTCATCTTTCGAATCAGGCATATGCACAAGTTTGCTCTCAAATTATCATTTCAATTGTAAAGAACGAAAAGGCATTTGGCCCTCTGAAAATTGTTAGTAGTTTTCTTCGATCAAGAACAAAAATAAAAGGCTCAAATTCTTGGTGCTTCTATATCGTGAAAATATGTATTTTAGATAAAATTGATCAATTGATCTGAAAGAATACTACTAATCATTAAGTATATCTAATACTGGTTTTGCTTAAATGTTGCTTTACTTCTTACTGTAAGTTTAAATGTCTGTTTCATGTTAATGAAAATTTAGAGATTTAGGCTTTTATGCTTTAGGCTAATTATTGAGTAAAGTTTTGGTAATTATAAAGAAAATAGAACTATGGTGTTCGGGCTATTTACAAATATCAATTTGGTAGGTACAGTAGATTTTCTGGTCAAATGAAAAATTTCTTACTTAGATTGGAATTTTCATCCTTCCACGCCCCCCCCCCCAAATTAGCAACTTGTTTTCGTCCCTGAGGAGGCTGTTCTCTTTGAGGGGCAGTTTTGTTTCTTATGTTGGAAGGAACATGCTGTTTTATCCTATCCCCCAATCTTTGGGTTGTTCGTCCTACGTAGCCAGAATCACACTGGCTACGTCCAAACATTCAAAGCTTCTAGTATGTCGTAAAATTTTTGCTTTTTTCAAAGCTATTTTAACTTTGAATGTTTGGTATATTGTAATTAATATTTGTTTTTGCTGATAAAAGATTTTGAGTGTGAGTTTGAGTCCTGCGCCTACTTTAATGTTGTTGTGAATGCTATTAAGAATCAATTGTTTTTATCCAAAAACCCGCTTTTCGAAAAAATTTTCGGGGGCCCCTTAGTTTTGTGTTTAAAGGTGCACACCGTAAATTGACAAGACAATCTGAATCTGATGTTGATTCGCTGTTCTGTTTAGGCATTGGATTTCTGCATTCACTGATTTTTTCAGCCATAGTGGGCCGAAGCCGTCGCTCTCATGCAAATGGTACCCCTCATGTCAAGTATGTACCTGACGTGTCGAATTTTCAAACGCGAAAAAAAATATAAAGATACCAATAAAACCAACAGATGATGATATTCATGTATTCGGCAACTCTTCTTTATCCGTTTTCACTTAATATCGGGGTTATTGCCGATCGTTTTCTGTCAATATTCAGTAAAGTAAACCAACCACTATAGGCCCGGTGAACACAAAACAAAGCTCCCACGACTAAGTGTCGAGTCTTGTTCAGAAAGGCAGGGGATTCCCTGTGTATCAGCAATGATTGCTGGGGGGTACGGTCAAAAATTAATCGAATTTATCTTCAAACACGTAATTCGAAGAAACGAAAACACTCAATGAAACGAAATGTGCTACAAAGAATACAAAGTATCATCAAATACGTGTGTAATAAGATTGGTACCACAAAATAAATCAGAATCTAGCTTTTTTCGCTCCGCCACCAAGAGACGTTAGAGACTTAGTCTCTGGAAGCGTCGGCTCCGTGTACCCCTCCTGTCGAATTTTGGAAAACTTGCCAAAATGCGCCGCTTCTCAAGTTTATGAGAAATAATATCAAATAAGTGTGTAATAAGATTGGTAACACATTATCTTGATCAAAATAAATCAGAATCTAGCTTTTTTCGCTCCGCCACCAAGAGACGGTAGAGACTTAGTCTCTGGAAGGGTCGGCTCCGTGTACCCCTCCTGTCGAATTTTGGAAAACTTGCCAAAATGCGCCGCTTCTCAAGTTTAGATGAAATCTAATATCAAATAAGTGCGTAATAAGATTGGTACCACATTATCTTGATCAAAATAAATCAGAATCTAGCTTTTTTCGCTCCGCCACCAAGAGACGGTAGAGACTTAGTCTCTGGAAGGGTCGGCTCCGTGTACCCCTCCTGTCGAATTTTGGAAAACTTGCCAAAATGCGCCGCTTCTCAAGTTTAGATGAAATCTAATATCAAATAAGTGCGTAATAAGATTGGTACCACATTATCTTGATCAAAATAAATCAGAATCTAGATTTTTTCGCTCAGCCACCAAGAGACGGTAGAGACTTAGTCTCTGGAAGGGTCGGCTCCGTGTACCCCTCCTGTCAAATTTTGGAAAACTTGCCAAAATGCGCCGCTTCTCAAGTTTAGATGAAATTTAATGTCAAATACGTGTGTAATAAGATTGGTAACACAATTTCTCGTCACGAGGAGAGGTTATAGCCAGAAAGATTGATTTTCCCAATGTTCTAATGTTTTGTTAGCATACAGGAATTTCAGCGACTACTAAAGACCACTTACACGTATGTCGAAAACGTTATTTACAGTAAGAATTTTGCAGTGTCGTTAATCAAGAGTCATTAAGATTGGGTATAAATTATACATAATAATCCTAATTAAGCTTAGAATATCTGATTCATAGTCGCATTTATAAATACTTGTAACGATAGAAGCGTTTGTATACGGGCTATTGATAGAAGCCAGCTTATTTCTTAGGGACATCAAATGTTTCTACTAGGTAAGATAATCTGAGATTCGATATACATTGTTTAGTTCAAATCTATGCGCGCTAATGTGCAACGGAAACAGGCCTCTGTGCGTCTTGACATTCTAGTAACGAAGGTTTGTAGGACGTGTACATTTTACGCTTGATATAGATTTAAACTAACTTTCATCCGCCTATCTAGAAGAAAAATCGGTTCTTCTTTTCAAAAATTGCCATCACTTGATTGAGAGCTTTCATCTAAGGAGCGTAACTGAACCTTGGCAAGAAGTTCTTTGAATGAAGCCTTTTTTTTTATTTTTCCTTCCCTTTTCTTCTTAATCCCACCCTTGACTCCCCTGCGGATCTTCATTTTACCGCGAGACCGTTCTTGTAAGGACAAATTGTCATTTTCGTCGCTATCATGCACTGTGATTATTTTTGGACCATGCTTGCATTTCTTGCAAAGCCACGGCGAAGAATTAATATCTGACTCACAATCATTGTGATACCAGGCTTTGCATTTTTCACAGCATATCATTTTCGTCTTCAAGTCAGGTAAGTTGCAATGACAATACAGAACTGGTTTTATGACAAACTTCGTACCAGAGGGTTCCCGGGGCGAGTCTGCAAACTGTACCCCTTCGAAACTATTTCTGTTTAGCGCTTTGAAGAGTTCCTGTCTTAAAGTTTTGTAGTTGTAATAGATTACCTGTGGGTCAAGTTTCCTGCAAAGACTGAGTGCATAAAATATAGCAGCTATTCCGTTGTCTGCATTTTTTAATGATGACGTGGTATCTGCAACGTGAATTTCGAAGCTATCTTTCTTTGGATGTCTAAGTCTTGCAGCATAACCCTCTACAGAAATATCGTATTTACATTCTCTTTTGTTTTTGGACAAATGATTTCTTACAAGACTGTCATACAATAAAATAGTTCTAGACGACAAGACATTTGACAGGGTGCCCCATTCAATGCATCCATCCCCTAAATCATTGAAGGGAATAATTTGGACGAAACTTCTGCCGCTGCCCCACATATTATTAAGATTACAAATGGGGCTCAATCCCCCTAGACTAGGAAACTGATGGCGCAAGATATCCATTGCAGCATTAATGACAGAGCAAGTCAGGGGTAAACCCGATTCAATTTCATTTAGATTAATTTCACATTCGTCAACTTTTGCACTGTTAGCCCCTGGTTCTTCAATATTATTGATACTTGGGGAGGTATCAAACGAGCGAATATTCGCTGCCGAATCTAGAACCACGTTATGACTATCAATAACTTTACCGCAGTCAAGGTCATCATCAGATAATACAATAGTATTGTCAAAATCAAGGGGTTCCTCGACGTCTAATGGGAAAAGATCATCAATAGGCCCCTTTGTATCTTCAGGCTCGATATCACTTGTTATAGAGATATTGATATTTTGCGGACACCTATTTTTTAGCTGGTTTTCAAAACTTTTGTTTGGAGATGAAGAAAGATTCCGGCGTATGCCGTCCTGGACAAATCCGTTGACAAATTCTTCATAGTCGGGTTTTGATATTTGGTCTGCCTTAGAAAATGAAACTTCGTCAAACCATGGGATTGGATCTATAGATGTTATCCCAACGAAGGATCTGTCAACGGATTCTTCTGAGCTATGATCGTCATCAAATTGGTCCTCTTCTCTCGAATGGGCAAGAATTGCACGACCAAATTTGTCGTATTTAGCAACAAGTCTTGTTCTTTTTTCCATTTCAGAAATAACTTGCCGGTTCCTGGCTTCGTTTGTCAAATCAATGATTGAACGGAACATAAATATATGATTAGATGGAGACATTTTATTGAGAAAGTATCTGTTTAGGTTGAATGAGCCGTGAATTTGTTCTGCAACTTGACTATTAATTTGACCACAGAGCTCATTAATACAAGCTATTCTTCGCAGTGCCTCAACTTCATTAGAGCTATTTCTCTCATGAAGTCGGTCAAAAAGGGCCAAATGGTGCGCACTACCGGTGATTGGATGACAGTTAGCATCTGCATCATTTCCTTGCTTTGCTGATGAATTAATCCAAGGAAAGGATAGCTGCAGGGCTCCTTCATTCGCCATTTGAACGTTCTCCTCAGTAGCCTCTGCAGCACGGCCTTCGTTTGGTGAAAAGAAACCGTCAAAATTTCTGTTGCCAAATGCAGCAACAATGTGGGCCATGTCATTTATAAATATATTTGGCCTGTGTTTCAGTCCGCGCAAAATATCTATATAGTCTCTTGGACTTTCAGAGCGAAGCAAGAATTTGAGTGCGTAAATTATTCCGTGACGACATGCTACTGTCAACCAACCACCAGAAAATCCAAACATTTTCCGAAAAATTTTGTTAAATTTAACGTTGTTCTTACCAAGACCGGTCTTGATGCGATTTATAATATCCAGTTTCGTTCCTTTTGAGGACACACCTAATTTTCTTGCAAGCAATCTTACGTCCTTGGATGAGCTCTCAAACAGTGTTTCCAGCAATCGCTCTTCGGACATCTCTCTACATTCCACCTCAACATTTTCATCATCCCTATGAACTTTAAGGTGCTCGGAATTATAAATTACATTTGCTATCCTACTCTGTTTACCTATAAAAGGTGCCCAATATGACAGATTCGGACCCACTTTTAGAGACTCTAGTTTTCTTGAACGATACCCCCTGCTCATCATCTCCATTGCAACGTCATAGATTCTGATTTATTTTGATCAAGATAATGTGGTACCAATCTTATTACACACTTATTTGATATTAGATTTAATCTAAACTTGAGAAGCGGCGCATTTTGGCAAGTTTTCCAAAATTCGACAGGAGGGGTACACGGAGCCGACCCTTCCAGAGACTAAGTCTCTACCGTCTCTTGGTGGCGGAGCGAAAAAAGCTAGATTCTGATTTATTTTGATCAAGATAATGTGTTACCAATCTTATTACACACTTATTTGATATTATTTCTCATAAACTTGAGAAGCGGCGCATTTTGGCAAGTTTTCCAAAATTCGACAGGAGGGGTACACGGAGCCGACGCTTCCAGAGACTAAGTCTCTACCGTCTCTTGGTGGCGGAGCGAAAAAAGCTAGATTCTGATTTATTTTGATCAAGATAATGTGTTACCAATCTTATTACACACTTATTTGATATTATTTCTCATAAACTTGAGAAGCGGCGCATTTTGGCAAGTTTTCCAAAATTCGACAGGAGGGGTACACGGAGCCGACGCTTCCAGAGACTAAGTCTCTAACGTCTCTTGGTGGCGGAGCGAAAAAAGCTAGATTCTGATTTATTTTGTGGTACCAATCTTATTACACACGTATTTGATGATACTTTGTATTCTTTGTAGCACATTTCGTTTCATTGAGTGTTTTCGTTTCTTCGAATTACGTGTTTGAAGATAAATTCGATTAATTTTTGACCGTACCCCCCAGCAATCATTGCTGATACACAGGGAATCCCCTGCCTTTCTGAACAAGACTCGACACTTAGTCGTGGGAGCTTTGTTTTGTGTTCACCGGGCCTATAGTGGTTGGTTTACTTTACTGAATATTGACAGAAAACGATCGGCAATAACCCCGATATTAAGTGAAAACGGATAAAGAAGAGTTGCCGAATACATGAATATCATCATCTGTTGGTTTTATTGGTATCTTTATATTTTTTTTCGCGTTTGAAAATTCGACACGTCAGGTACATATTTGACATGAGGGGTACCATTTGCATGAGAGCGACGGCTCCGGCCCAACATCGCTCGGAGATTTTTTTCACTTAATCAAAACAGCTTGTCTGACGAAATGAACAGGGTTAAAGTTTAGTTTGCAGGATGCTGTAGCTGTTGCCTGTCGTTGCATCAGCCAGGCCTGCACTGCAGGATGGTTTTTTTAAAAAATGCAGTTTCATATGATTGCATCATCAAACCATTCAAATAAACATTACCACAGTTTGAAAGTACATAAATAGTTCGAGTGATGCTGCTTCAGCGAACATTTGCTATGGAGCTTGTGGCGCAGAGCACAGAGCAACAAGTTAAGTCTCCTGAAGTCGAGGCAAGTAATTCTGATCTTAATTTTTTTGTCTTGAAGGACCTAATTTAGTGGGAATTTCAAATAAATAGAATAAATTTAGGCCTAATACTTTCGAAATAAACTCCTTTACAAAGTCAAGTGCATAACAAAGCAGTTTTGAGCTACTCAATCATACCTTTTTTAAAACCAGTTAGTAAGAATTTTCCAACAAAAAGTCAACAATGATATTTTGTACGAAACCTGAAAATCCAAACTTTTAGAGCATCCGTTATTAAAACTAACATTAACAGTAAAAGCACTAAATAATGCATTTTCACTCCCATTAATTCAAGTCACATGTATCAAGTATACATGTGTAAGTGTAAAGTGTAAGTGTTACACTTACTAGTAAGTGTAAGACAAAAAGAATTTTTTGAATGAATTACCAAACTCTGGCCCATTTTAGTGCTAATCCAAAGAAAAAACCTTTGATTGATATTGCATATTGGCCAGGAATTTTTTAGGATTTGCCAAGGTTCTACTTCTTAATGCTAAATGCTAAAAAGTTGTGTAATACAATGCTTAGTAGAAACTATAAACCATCCTTTTTGTCAACAACAGTTGTCTAAAAGTTGTGTGCTTTTGTCCTGGCAAAGACAGCAAATCAATCCTCTGTACAATTATTTCTCCTCATTTTGAGCCAGTACATGAAGGAAATTATAAATTCCTCATAGATATCTCTGGTGTAAGGTACATTTACAAAGGTTTCGAATGTGTTTTAGACTAAACAATAGTTTGTGCAGTCTTAATCATTGTTGGGCCAAAGTCACCCACTTATGGGACTTATGGGGTACTTTTTCTAATCCTTTTTCTTAGTGAAACTTTAAAGGAATATATATCCTGGAAATTTATAGAGCAAAATTTCTTAATTGAAAAGTCTACATTACATCAAAGCAAACTATTTCAGTCAATTTCAATTATGATGAACTTAAATTATCTCATTACCCTGAAGACTTTGAAAACTCAATTAGCCTTTATCATAAAAATGACATTTCTACAGCGATACAGAGTTTTATAAAGACATATTGATTTTCCAATAAATGTCTTACAATAAGCTTTCAATTAACCTCTCTAATGTTATTCAAGTTCTGCAACCCTGAAACTGTCCCTGTGGTTTATGGGCTCAGCTGGTACCATTTTCCCTGTGGTCAATGATTGTGTTATGTCAGTTTTAGGGCCTGTAACTTGAAAAAATTTAGCTTCCAGAAAACTCTAAAAAATATTCAAACAAGGACACAAAAATGGAATAAACAATGTATTTATTGCTACTAATTATGCCCATACTTCAAATTTATCATAAATGGGTTTCGGTAGTAATTGAGAGCTATTCTGTGTAACTGAATAAAAAGTTTTCCAAAAACCTTTTTTATTTCCAGTCTTTTGCTGCTTAACACAAAGCTTATTTGAAATTTTTTTAGCACCTAACTTTGTTGCACTGCCAATCGATTTCAAGAGAAAGATACCACTTACAAAGACTAGATCACTTTTAAAAGGGTATCCTGTCTTTTGATTACAGATACCAAACAATAAGTCTGTTTCTAGGGTAACCAATAATAGGAATTTCAATGTCTGGTAGTGCATTAGGCTTTTGATGCTTGGAAACTAATATTTTGTACACTTCCAGGACAAAGTATTGCAACAGGGGCGAAGGTGATTAATGGTAGATCACGCAATAACTTTTCTTGTTGTCTATTGTCTATTGTTTAATCAGCCCATGGCATGCAAATAAGACAGCGAATTCAATGAAGCATCAATGCGAATATTCAATTTTTGTTTTTCAAAATCAGCAATTGTGTCAACTTTAAATCAAATCAGTATTTGTAGGGTTGCTTCTGGCTCTGATATCTACTGAAAAATGCTTTGGAATTTATGCACAAATTTTTTGATGAAATGTTACCCTTGGGACTCTCCTTCATTCTCCATAAACTCTTTAAGTAAGTTCTTGTTTGGACCTTTTAAAACCTTGTGGATTACAAATCAGATCATTTTAACTGGCAGCAAGAAATATTTTCTTAATATATTAAGGTTAGGTCTTTGTGAAGGCCAAGGAAGGAGGTAGAGCTTAAAGATTTTCAGGTAAATTTGAGTACAAATGGCCTTGTGAGGGGAATGTATCGCTTTATATGAAAAGGACTGCCTCCCTCATTTCCCTAGCATTGATTTGATTCCATCAAAATGAATGTTTTGCATTATTTGACATATTTCACTGCATTATTTCGCACGTTATTAGTTCTTAATTTACCAATTACTATGGGCCGAACTGTAACCAAAAATAAGCCAAGTGATAATGTGTTTGTCCATTGATAATCACGAACTATTCCCATTACTCAGCTATCGAACGAAAACGGAATGAATGAACCCGCTTTTGTTTTGCGTTCCCATTGTTACGCTTGAAAACGGAGACATTTGATAATGATGTTCAAAGTTATCAATCGAAAACAGAGTTATTTAAAAATGTTTGATTTTTATGAGAAAGCGAAAACGGAGTCATTTTAAAACGGATTCTTTCATCTTCAGCTTCAAAACAAGCTTGAACAAAGGATATGAAAACGAAAAAAAAAACAGAGCAACGACAACACCTTCGTCTTCGTTTTGGCTAAAACGTTGTGGGTTAGAGCAATGGGAAAGGTAGAAGGAAATACAGAAACGGAGGCATATGAAAATGGAGTAACAAGGATTCGATGTCAAACTTTCCATTTCTAAAAAGAGTTTTTCAAGCGCATTGACCTATCAGCATCTGGTAAACGCTCGCTTCAAGAGAAATATTTATCACTGGACGCGCGATTAATCGCTCCTAAAGGAAACATCGGGTGCGTGCCTGCACGCTCGCGCGCTGTCGCACAACCCCCATTGAAAGCCTTGGGATTATGTTGCATAAAGAGGGAAGAAAATCGATCCTTCACTTGAGTTGCAAAATATTCAAAGCGCTGATGTTTAAATTCAAAATTACTGCGACGAACGATGCAGAAAGCTGCCGACAGAGAAATTTAAGATTTGAGTGCACACTTGGTGCATTTGCCATTGTTAAATGCTTTTACTGTGTCGACAAGAAAGACAATAAAAAGTTTAACTATTTGGAAAGCCTTCTTCCCTGTTGACCCTGCATAACGCCACTTCTGAAAACAGCAATATGTAATTCACGCGCATCAGCTGTGTGTATTTTTATAGCCTTATGTTGACATTTATGCAGTTTTTCTTCTAACCATTGCAAGATATTTGATGCCGATATCAACTGCCTTTTTCTCAACAGCTTTTTTCCAACAAAATGTGTCTTTAATTGACGTTTCTTGTAAAGATGTTTCTTGTAAAAACTTGTTTTTGCTTTCTAGGACCTCCTGCTAGCTGATTCGCCCATAAAGTGCTAAAACGTGTCACGCAAGTCAAAATGCTGACTATAAAAACACTCGATGAGCTTTTTCATCGAGAAATTCCTTCACACACTACCGTGTCGGCTTTATCCGTGCCCATGGAATGCTGGGAAAAGGAGATTCATAATCTCGTACCAATGCTCATGTCTGACGTAATCGATGCCCTGCTTGTTGACGACAGCCAAGTACAGGCATTGGCTGAAATGGCTACAGAAGAGGTTGGGAGAATTTTAGAGGACAAAATAGGAAGTCATTTCGTTTGTCATGGTAGAAAGATTAAGGTCAATGAAGTATTTAAGTGTGATTTTGTGAAAAACAAAATTTGTCCTGCTAAGAAACAAGAGAAAGAATTGATGAGGACGATGCGGGCATTAAACGACATATTGCGCAAGGTAATTCGTCTGTATGAACGCTTCCCTGAGGTGGAAGATGTGCTTCAAAATGCAATACAAACAATTGGAAGGCACAAGATAGAAAGAGGTTCAGCACAGGCACCTCTTGCCGAATACCAAATTAGAGAGAGAAAACGGAAGCTTGAATCAGGAATCAGGCATGTTATTCATAATCCAGATGAATCAGTTAAAAGGAGAAGAAATAAGATAATGCGAAGGTGCTTAGATCAGTTATCGAAACAAATGGTAACTTTTGAAAATGAGGATAAGGCCAGTTCAAGTGAAGAAGAAACCACTTTTAAGAGTATGAAATGCTATATTTGCAAAAAATACTTTGCGCTACATCAACACGGAGAAAATAAACAGCACTTTTGCACAACCTGCTGGAGATTTAACACGGAAATGCGCCATCAAAGATCCGACTTAAAAGGAAGATACGCGATAGTAACCGGAGGCAGAATCAAGATTGGGTTTCAAACGGCGCTAAAGTTGCTAAGAGATGGCTGCTATGTTGTCGTAACAACAAGGTTTCCAAATAATGCCGCTGCAAGATACAGCGATGAGACCGACTATGATGACTGGCATCACCGCTTGAAAATCTATCCACTGGATCTTCTAAATAATGCTTCTATACTGCAATTTATAGACTACATCAATGCAGCACTTCCTTTCCTTGATATTCTTATCAACAACGCTTCTCAAACAATCAGCCGTCCAGGACGTTTTTACCAACATCTATTTCTTGGCGAGAACGTGCAGAGAAAAACTTTACCAAAAAGGCAAAGGAACATATTAGTGTCTGGGATAAAGCTTCAGTATCAATATAATCAAGAGAAGCCGGGATTGGGCTGTTCAAATCAACAAATGCAAACAATTCTCGAAAAAACGGTGGCAAAGGATTTGGAAAGTGGTAAGTTTGCAACTTTTATAAGTGAGTATACTGGGCAAGAAACTAAGTCTTGGGAAAGTAAAGGTATTTTACTCCATCACGTCAAGCGCTAGAAGATAGTGACATGACAAAATGCAGCCAGTCAGATTTTAAATTGAAACTACAATATCCTTGTTAATAATACTCAAATACTCTCTAATATTACTAAGAAGGGACGTCAGCAATTACAGAAATAAAATGTTATTTGGGGACATTTCATTCGGTGTTTCTGCTATTAGTCTTGTTCATAGCGAAGGAAGGTCTTTCTCTTTTTTGGCGTAATTGGAAGAAAAGCTTTCTGTAGAATGTCGAACTTTAACCTTCATTAGCAAAATTCGTGCGAGCAGTAATGTTGTTGTACAAGGACGCTTTTCTAAAATAAGGGAGATTTCATAAATTGTTATATATTTTGATGTTTTTTTAATGCCATGACTTAACATTCATTCAAAATACAGCAAAATTGGTCAACAAGAACTAGAGAATTAATGTGATCGTTGATGCCAGTCTGCTATGCTTAGCATGGACATAAATCTAAGTCTATCCTTCTTTCAGACCGACGTGACACAGTGAAACCTACTTTGAGCGAGAAAGACGCAAGCATGTACCCAACCGTAGAACTAATCAGCACGCAACAACTCGATGGTCCTTCAGATTCGAAAGATAGCTGCTTTCTGCAAGCAATGCATTGCAAATCTGAATTGCCAATCGAACATGGTGATGTCACGAACTGTGATGCTATTTTCGAAACTTGCAATGACCATGAAAGTAAGCAACAATGTTTAACGGTTCCGAAATTCCACCAAAAGACCGATATTAATACGGAGTTTCCAGCAGGAGTGTTGGATTCCGATGGACAACAGGTTGACTTGCGCAAAATGAACAGCTGGGTTTATACCGCTACCGATGTGCCTTTCAAAGAATTGCTTGAGGTGCTGACTATAAACACTCTAGGTCCCTTTCTGTTAGTTACGAAGCTGAAAGACACAATGAAGAAGAGCCCAAATCAAGCCAAGTTCATCGTAAATGTTTCTGCAATGGAAGGGCAGTTTGGTCGTAAATACAAAACGATGTTTCATCCGCACACCAACATGGCCAAAGCTGCTCTTAATATGCTGACCAGAACGAGTGGCTTAGAGTACGCTGTGGACAATATATTTATGACTGCGGTTGACACAGGATGGGTGACAGACGAAAACCCAGTGAGTTCACTTCACTCGAAACAGAATGAAACCCCACTGGACTGCGTGGATGGTGCAGCGCGTGTTTATCATCCAATTGTACATGGACTAAAACAGAACTCAAAACCGTATTTTGCAGTGTTCATTAAAGACTATAAACCATATCCGTGGTAAAATGTTCTCAAAGTAAACCTCCTTTTCAATAAAAATACTGAATGAGACTATCTGATAAACATATTTCTTCATATCTCTTTCATAAAACATTTTTACTAAAGACTTGTCGACACTGATAGAAAAAGCTTGGATTATTCATGCATGACGACACGGTATTTTGAAGTAGAATAAATATTATACTAATAAATGTATGTAGTATAATCCATATATCACGTTTTATAAATGTACTTGTTCCGAAATAAACAGCCTAATATTTACGAAGTAATGGTAACGTTAAGGAATGGCAAAGGAAATGTCGCTTCCTTTCCCTGTTCTTTACACGGTGCGTAGCTAGGCTGGTCTCACCCATTTTTTCCGGAAATACATGCAACGCGGGGAACTGACAGTGTCATTAGACAATACTAATTAATGACGTATTATTTGCGCTCGTCATGTGATGACATGTCATGTTTATCAATAAATTGGAAACCCATGATTGCTCTAGATCAGAGAATTGGAAAATGAACTAGAGACAGGTCTGTTTCTGTTGTTCGTATCTGCCCTGTCATAACACACAGAACAGAATAGTATATTTTGCAAGGAGCAGCAACTCATCTATAACCTTTTCGCAATCAAATTATATCGATTATTTGGTGCTTCAAATCTATATCGACATCTGAAAACAGTTGCCAGTTTTTTAATCCCGCATTCAATTACTTTAGAAAATTTTGTAAAATTGTTATGTATTTCTTCGATGAAGAAACGCAAAATTTTGAGTATTTGTTATGATTACTTCACTTTTATATATATATATATTTTAAACAACGTCAGTGCATTTAGTGATTTTCATCTAACAAGAATTTTTATGCGAAAAATTTGTATGAGGAAAGTTTCATCTTAAAACTCCATTTTACATTGTTTCCTAAGTTACTTTTAATTAGCTACATATTTTGTTTGAAATGATGAACGAAAAAAGGAATGTATTTTAGAACGTAAAGATTGCAATTTTGTGATACGTTATACATAATTAAGAACTAGGATTATAATTATCTGACGCCTGAGTTTTCTTTATATGAACTATTCTATTGAGAAAGGCTGGTTGCCTTTTTTGCACGCATTTCCAACACCCGCACTCACGAGGCAATATGTGTCTGTGATAAGACGATTTATACTAGAAGTTACTCAATGATATCCTTACAACAAGTACAAATATTTTGATTGGGCATTAGGATACGAGATTGGCTTTAATTCTTTTTCTGATATCTGCAGAATCACATAGACCCAAAACGAAATTGTAGAGTTTTAAAATCGAATTGTTTGCGAATCTTTCATTTTCTAACAAATTCTCTAACAGACTAATTTTCTAAAATCTTCATGGCAACAATTTGAACAATAGTCTCTTCGAATGATACGTTCAGAACAAATCTTAAAATCGTCAAGATCATTGAATGGGATTCGTGAGCATTATTCTTATTCAAACTCAACTTGTATCAGAAATCAGGATCTCATTGAAAATTGAAGGTTGGTTAAATGAAATTTAATTAATATGTGACAGTGTACGCCTTTTATGTGCCCCTTGGGCTTTGTTTTTGGGCATAGGTTGCACGGTTGTGGAGTTTGTGTTTATCGAAGCAGTACTCGACTAAGCATTAATTACATTGTGTCTTTTATACGGCTAAAGGAACAAACGTGCAAGTGGGCATTGGCCTTGGGTATATAAACTTTGTGTTGACATAGCTCTTCCTTTCTAGCACGTTGCAAGACAACCTAAAGTTGGACTTCGAGAGGAAAGGTTTTCCTTTGCGACCCTGTCCACCCAACCTATATCTAGGTATTTTCAAGTTATTACAGGCATGTTAACTTCTCTTTCTTTTTTTCGTGCATTAGTTAATGGCCGTGTGACTTGCAACTTTTGCATGAACAAGGTGTTGCTAGTTGGCGGAAGGAAGCCATTGTTTCTTCTTCTCAACCCCATCAAAAACGGTTGGGTTTTTATTTATGGCCGTCTTTGCGATTGGCGCACCGACAGCCCAAAAATAAATGGTCCAAATGATGAGAGAACGACAACTTCAGTCTTATGATTGTCAATGGTAAAATATTCTGAAGACCATCTCACCCTTATTTGCTAACCAGTTTTTGTTTGGTAACCTGGAATAAATATCAAAGGTAACATATCTATCTAAACACAAATTTTCTTATTTTTTCAATCCACTGTCGGGAAGAATAGCAAACTCTAATGAGATACGTCATGAATTCGTTGTCATCAGCCATTAAATGAACTTGAGAGAGGAAAATATGCATTTGTAGCAATGCTGATCCTAAGATCAGGAGTAATGATCTATTTGCCGGTAACTGTCACTGAATCCACAGCAGGTTGCAGACATTGCTATCGAAGTAGTTGTTGTTGTTAATATATTGGCTAGCAACCTGTCTATTCAAACCTACCTGTGAATTTCTCCATAAACCGTTTTATCTAGCTGTTCATTACATAGTGATCCAGAGAATATTTGATTTGTTTGTGAGCAATTTTTTTATCGGACGCTCTGTATCAGAAATCTTATTTCTTGAGGAACACCACATGAAATGGGAACAACGTCACATAGCACAAAAAGTCAAAAATAGAACAAGGATAAACACTAAAAAGGCGAATCAGAATGGAAAGGCTTGGAAAATGTGAAATCTTTCCTCTCTTGTTGTTGCTGTTGTCGCTTTTATCATCTGGTAGTGGTAAATTATTTCAACTGGAGCTTCTTGAAAGGACGCCGGTATGCGAGGTTGAAGACCGTTTTCTCTCAGTTGCAATGAGTATGAACGTAGCCAAGAATGGTTTCAAAAGAATTGATTATTCATCAGAGAAATTACGCACATTGTTAAGGGCCCTGAAACCAGCCTACTTCCGTCTCGGGGGTAGTGCATCGAACTTTCTGTTTTTCAAAGTAGGATCAACTAAACCTTCAACACCACCGACCTTCCCAGATCAAAAAGCAACTGCAGATCAGTTCCAACTTAACAAACCAACACCACCAACAGTTACAAATGCGCCTGTCACTACCAATGTGTTGCCGACTGGCGTACCGGACACAGCAAAGCCCTCCTCTAATGGTGCTTCCAACAACGGCCCATTAAAACCGACAGCATTCACACCAAGGATCCCCGAAAAGCCAACTCCTAAACCAGGTAATGACGCACAAGATCCACAGTCTCAAAATGACCCCACAGGTAATGGACTGAATCAAGGAACAATGGATCAATCCAATGGGAATCAAAATCAAGACCAAGGTGCCATGGGGCAGGGGCAACCACCAATGCAACCGACATTGAAACCTCCCAATTCTAAGCAGCCATCAAATAACAAGGAAAATAACCAACAGGAACCAGATAACGGCTATATCTCTTTAAACTTAAATGGAAATGACCCAGAAAATCCAAGCGATGCTCTAGATGAATACATGAATGATGGTAAAAGTGGATTGGAACTGAAGAACCAAATCGCTTCGATGCAATCTGGCTCTGGATCAGGAGACAGCCAACAGGGTTCTGGTGATGGGTCAGAGGCACCAATTTCATTTGATACTGAAACTGACAGCGAGATAAACAAACGATTTATGATAAACAAAGCTTATCCAACGCAGCCCTTCTGGTTGATGTCAGACGATTTTGATAAGTTTTACAACTTCATTAAAGAGGCTGGTCTGGATTTAGTATTTAATCTTGGTGACTTTGTACGTTATGATAACGGGTCTTGGAATGCAACAAACGCTCTAGAAATGTTCCATCATGTTGCTTATAGGGGCTATAAACTAGGCTGGCAGCTCGGCAATGATCCAGATAGGTACAAAAAGTATGGACCTGATAGGGTAATCAATGCCACGCAAGCTGGAAATGACACTGTGCAACTTCGCAAAATCTTGAGAGGCAACAATAACTTTGGCACGCTGCTTATTGGACCGGACATCACCTTTTCAAGGAAAGGAAATGCTGCTGGAAAATATCTACGGGAATATCTTAAAACCAATGCAAGCTACGAATTAAGCGCAATATCGTGGCATCAGTACTACGTCAATGGCCGTAAGGCAATCGAAGATGATTTGGCTGACCCTGATGTCCTAGATAAATTCAAAGAACAGGTTCAAAATGTTAGAAGCGTTTTACAGAAATTGAAAATTGACAAGCCTCTTTGGCTGACAGAGACTGGAAGTGCCTCCAGCGGAGGAGCACCAGGACTCTCCGATACATTTCTCGCGTCATTTATGTACCTCGACAAACTCGGTGTTGCTGGAGTGTATTGCAATTCTGTTGTAGCCAGGCAAAGCATTTTAAAAGGAGGCTATGCGCTGCTTAGCGACGATTATAGCCCACGGCCAGATTACTGGCTGGCATTGCTTCATAAACGCCTTGTTGGTAAGCGGGTTTTGCTTGTTTCAGGAGACAATAAACGCCTACGGGCGTATGCACATTGCACACGAAATTCAACAGCGTACAAAGCCGGGTCTGTTACGGTGTTTGTGCTAAATCTCAGGAAAAAACCAGCTAGAATCGAATTTGGGGACGATTTGAAAGACAAGTATGTCGATCAATTTTTGGTGACGTCTTCAGATGGCAGCTTAACGTCAAAAAGCGTTATGCTTAACAGCGAGGTTCTTGAAATGCGCTCCAACACAACGATTCCGAACTTCCAGGCATTAAAGGTAAGGCAGCCAATGAAGATGCCTTCATATTCATATGCCTTTTATGTTATCCCTGATGCTGCAGTGAAAAGCTGCATGTAAATAAAGGCACGTAAGCATGGCATCAATTATAAAATGCATGGTGCTTCAATTCATTACCAAAACTCTGATTAGTGATGAAATTTCCATAAATGACGTTTTTAAATTCACTCGCTGCCGTTTCAAATAAGCACACAATGTCTGTATACAAGACTGGCTTTGCAAAGAGTTTACAATGAGAGACAAATGAACGAACGATGAATAATAACTGTAATTGATGTCATTTAAGATCAGTTCTAGCTTTACCAAGTAAGCATTTGTCCAGATTGTTAGGATTTACTCAAAATCTACAAACATCTATAAGCACATTTGGTTTATTTAAATAGCTAGTTCTTTTTAAACGTTTATCAAACAACAATGCCGTAATATTTTTTGCGAAATGCTGGACTAAATAACCGAAATGCCTTTTCTAGCAATCTTTTCTCCGTTAGACATTACATGTTTGGTGATGTTGTAACCAAAGATCGTCAAGAAAATGTCCTTTCTTAATTTAACTGAAAATTAACATTATTTTTTAAGTCTTTATTCTTAAACGAGCTTGGTTTTTTCATGAATCATGTCTTGATTACACTGATAATGACCTTGCCAGAAATTTATTTGCCTTTGAAGTTTGGAGGGTCAATATTTCCAACAGGAAGCCGCGCTTTACATCACCCCTGTGCTATCCTCAGATCTTAGCATATTGCAAACGTTTTAGACTCCTCCAGCCCATTAAACGTGATATGGTCTTCTCTTTTCTCACGCCTGAAGTTGGGGCTGATTCAATATGATAATCAATAATTGCATAATATTAACAGCACCCTTGTATCACTTCTATCAAAAAGATAAATGAAAAGTAAAATTTAATATTCTAGATCCACTACCTATAAAATGATGCGATGTTAAAATAAATGATAATATTTCGACTTAAAAAATCGAGAGAAATATTATCAGAGGCTCTGTGAAGAGATATGTCCCTCGGAAGTTCATTCTGTGCTTTCATTGGACTTCGTCGTTGCAGGCGTACCTTTCAGACGTATACTTATTGTTATACATTACATACATTGTTTTACATTTGCTAGTGGAATAACATAAAACGAATACGAAAGAGGAGGCAGCTTCAAAGGACCTTCCCTTTGAACAGGATGCAACTTTGGGACATACTGGCCCGATGTTAAATGGAGCTCCTCGCCATTCAAGTCTACACTCTTAGAAGTGAGTTTCCCATTGGATGATGTCACTAGATACTCGTCCACGGCTTGCTTTCCAAGCAATCCTTTCAGTTTAATTTTTGCAACTGTTTTCTTCCATAAATTCAAAGCAATAATAGTTATAGCTCCCTCAGGATACCCTGCCCTCTTTCTTGTACAATGTGCATACAAGCGTACTCTTTTATCACTTCCTAAAACGGGAAACACTTTTCTCCCGACAAGTTTCTTGTGCAAAAAGGCAACCCAGTAATCTGGCCGTGGTGTAAAATCGTCATCGAGCAACGCGTAGTTCCCGCCAATGATAGACTGGCGAATAAAAACTTGGTTGCAATAGAGGCCAGCAAGCCCAAGTTTGTCAAGAAACATAAAGGAGGCTGCATAAGCACTGGATATCCCATAAGCCCCTCCTCCCCAAGCACTTCCTGTTTCTCCAAGCCAGACTGGCTTCCCACTTTGGCTCTCTTTGACAATTTTGTTTATCATTCTTATCTGAGATTTGAAAGTGTCTAAGGTTGCAGGATTTACGAAATCATCAATTTTTGCTCTTCGGCTAAGGTAATACTGATGCCATGTTACAGCATCAATCGCCCAAGCGGCTGCGTTCAGAAATTCCTTGAGAAATTGCTTTCCATTTCCAGTGCCAGGCCTGGAAATGCCGGGTCCGATCAAGACAGACCCGTAGTGTTCATTTCTCATTAAGAGACTGCGTAACCTTATGGTGTCTTGGGCAACTTGTAAAGCACTGAGAATTCTGTCGTGACCGTATTTTGAGTAGCGGTTTGGCTCATTTCCGAGTTCCCAGGCGATGTCATATCCTTCATGTTTAACATGTCGAACTATGTCAATGGCATTAGTGGCGTCCCAAGCACCATCTGGTCTCCTAAACAACCCATTTAAATCGAATATAAGTTTTAAGCCTGTTTCTTGTACAAAATGAGCCAATCGGTCAAAGTCTTCAGCAGCAAACCAGAATGGAAACCTTTCGTGTCTTGAACGTTTCTCAGCAGAAGTGCTTCCATTTCGCACCAAGCCGTCGCTTTTACCAAAGTCGGTTGATAAGCTCCTTTTGGCGGTATTCCCATTTTCTTCTTGGTGAATAGAAATGAGCGGTGACTTTTCAGTAGCTGGTGCGTATGCTAAACCAGATTGACTCGTAAGAGGGTCCCCAGCTACTTGTGTTGCTTCAGAGTATTGCTGTCCTGAAGGCTCCTGGGAGTAGGATGATACTGGGTTATCCTTTGACTCTTCGGTTGTTGTTTGGGCAGTCGCAGCTTGAGGCAATGCCTGAGAACTTTGATACTGTAGGGCGTCATTTGCGGTACTTTGTGCCTCTGCTGCTTGTTTTATGTCTTCAACAACATATTTCTCATCCTTCTGGTACGCTCTGTTGTCTATCTTGCTGTCATCTTTATCATTATCTTCGCGCTCATCCTGGCTGCTGCCCTTGTCCCTGTCTACTTTAATACCCCATCCGTTCTGAGGAAGGGCAGCCTCATTTGCCATATTTACTTTGATACCCCATCCACCTTGCGGGGAACCAGACGCACCGACATTGACATTTGGTAACTGTGACTGAGGGGGTGTCGTCACTATGGGCGGAGTTGTTGGTCGTGTTGTAGAAAACGGCGCTGCAGTTGTAGCTACGGGCGTAAATGGGTTCGGCTGCATTGTACTCGGTCGTTGTGTCCGTGGCTCAGTGGTGTACTCAGTAGTAGTTGTTCGTTTTGTAGTCGGCGGCTCAGTAGTAGTTGTAGCTTCGGTCGTAGTTGTAGCTTTTATCGTTGTAGTTTTCTCAGTGGTCGTTGTTGGGGGCTCCGTTGTGGTACTTTTTGGTGTGGTAGTTCGGGTCGTAGTGGTTGGTGGACGCGTTGTTGCTGATGTTGTCTCTGTTGTAATAAGCGTGGGTTGTGCGAGTCGTGAACCTGGCCTAAATATTAAAAAGTTTGCGTCACTACCACCAAATCGCAAAAATGCTGGGTGAAGAGCACTGATAACGTTTTTCAGTTTTTGTGATGTGAAGTCCAGGGCCTTGAACCTCTGCCTGGCATGGTAAGCTCCGATAGCTATTGATAAAAATCTTTCATCTACAGTACACACTGGGCTATGTTCCTGGATCTCTATTGTGTAATGTTTTCCTCCACACTGAAGTACGGATAACATTAAGCAAAAAATGACCCTTAGCGTAGTTCTGATCATCGCTGTGGCGGCTTTTCTCTTCTATGCGCTCTTGAAAATGATAAGGAAATCACTGGCTAATTATTTGTTTGCTTTTTATCAACAAACAAAGTTGTTAAGCATCTTTTAGCTTTTGTCTATCTAATATTTTGAACTTTAATTATGAAGTCGATGAAATGGTTTTACGGGTGCTGGTCTTGGCAAACCGGGGGTACACGCGTTTGCATTTTTACCAACTCTTTATCTTGGTTGTATCATACAAGCAGGAAAGGTATTTGGAGATATAATAAAAGATAAAATTTAAAAACAACAGTCCAAAATAAACATCAAAAGCAACTTTCAAAACTGATGAAAAAAAACCACTGATTTTTCGTACATTTTCCCGTACACAGCGTGTAGAATTTCTTCAATATCACCCCCTTGAAGATTCATAAAATTACTTATTGCTGGTTTCCAGTCTCGCTTCTTAGGGACCTGCGTTTATGCAATAAAACCAATGAACAAATCATCCCAAGGGTCAAAAGGTCAGTATGGCAATTAATATTACAACAGGAGCTATGGACGATTTCAGGCTTCCAGATTTAGTCGTTTCTTAGGGCCTGATTACATGAGGAGGGCTGGCCCTATCAAGAGGGCTGGCCCTAGTACCCGAGACGGATTTCTGTTTGCGATTACATGAGAAAAACTCATCTCGCGGTCGAGCTCTCGTCCCTGCGCAGTAAGTTGCGCAATGATTTGGCGGGAAAGTTTTAATTTTCACGTAATTAACAAATACATATGAACTTACCTAACGTCCAAAATAGGCCTAAATTTAGCTGTGATGCACGTCATATTCTTGAATTCTGATTGGCTAATAAGATATGCAGAATTTTGGTCGCTCAGCCAATCAAAGATTTGGAACCTATGCTACAATGTTCGGAAGGCTAGATTTTTTCATGGATGAAAGCTTTGGAATAACCATGGACTTGATTTCCAGCAGGCACCTTGTCACCTTTAAGAGCAACGTTCTTCTATACTTGTAATTTTTAGCACCGCACCCTGAAAACAGCAATCGTAACAGATCGAAGGGGCTACCGTGCCTAAATAATAACAATATGAAATGAAAACTCCAGACATTTATGAGAGCGGAGGTATTCTGACAGTTGTCTCTAGATAGAAATACAGTTGTTCACGGAAACAGTCTTTGATAGAAATAACTGAAGTTTAAAACAATCTCTAATTTTTATTTCTATTTGAGACAGAAAAACAGCAACGCAAGAAGACAATGGCCTAAACTACAATAATTCAAATTTTACTGTTTCATTTCACCTAAAATGGCTTTTTTAAAAAACGCAAAAAATGAATGAAAATCGCTTAGCCTGCCTGCTCCTGCTTGATTAAGTTTAACTTTTACCCTGCATTTTGGTTCTGACGGTAATTGATCGTTAATAGTAAATGTCATGTTTGATACGAAGATCGGACCACTTGTGTTATCAACAACTTCTTTACTAACTTCCTCGGCTTGTTTTGCAGACAACTCGAGCATATCTTTAGATCCCCCTGGAAACGACAGAAATTCTTTGGACGACTGCGCAGAGGAGCATTGGAAAGTGCTATTCTCTAGACGGGGGGACTTTGAGTCGTTACAAGAGTCTGTTATGCTAGTCTCTAGACTCGAGAGCGTGCTGTTATTAGAATGTTCATTCTCTCCGTTCATCTGTTCCTCGACAGAACCATTCCCCAGTCTCTTCAACAATCTGTTCTGTCGTCTTCTTTTAACCCAGGTATTTGCCCATGCCGTTGCTTGAACCTCAATAGAGGCAAAACAACATTCAGAATCAGCATTCGCATCAACATGTTTCAGTGCTGTTTTGACTGAACAATGTCTTTTATTTGATGGTTCTGATTCGTTGCTGTCGTGAATAGCCGCAAATGTTTGTTTGCCTGTGTTCTTTGTGACACCAACTGGGGCTTCAAACTTTCTCTTCAAAGCAAATTTATATTCTCCTTCTTTTACAAGAGACCCCCCTTTTTCATTGGACTCTTCCAAAACTGTATTATTCGCATTGATGTTGCAAGTATGACCGGGGCTACATTCCTTCTCAAAAGTAGGTTGGTCACATGAATGCATCTGTTTCTGGTGATTGTATTTGACGCTGCATTGCATTTTCAAATCAAGAGTCAAGATTCTGATGGCAATATTTGCACATCTCTGACATGCCTCTGCCGATGACTTTCTATCTGCATCATATACATCGAATACATATTTAACATTGAGACGCTTATGTTTTTCAATTGCAACTTTGGGTGCAACGGGTTGCAGTAAATTTTTCAAATCAATTTGGTCAAAGTTAAGCTTCTCTGAATTTTTGATGTTCCGTCCAAAACGAGTATCACTGCTCAAGATCTCCTCCCCAGCACGTATATTCTCTACATTTTCTATTTCCTGATAAAGTATCTGCAAGGCATTCTCTATTTCTGTTTTCAAATTTACTTGACCAGCTTCCGTCAAATTTTGTGCAACGTTGTGCGTAGCTTCAAAAGGATCGACTATGCAAACTGGGCCTACCCTGAACTTTGTCCTCAATCCTACCGCATCCAACTTAGCAAGAAAATTTCCTTTTGTTTGCAGCTTAACAGAACTGATAGAAAGAACATGCTCACTCCAATTGTATTTTGCAAAATACTTGAAAAAGCCAAATAGCAGCTCCCCTAGAACAGTAAAAAAGAATAACTATATTTAATGATAACATAATTTGAAGGATAAGCGCAAGCGGGTAAAAGATAATTGCTTTTTAATCTGAATTGAGTATCTAAGTGGGCAAACAACTCTTTCACGCTTATATCATTAATTACGTCATGACAAAATAAAGAGTAAGCATTCTCTCAACATGCCAAGGATGCCGGCTGCCTTTTCAGCAACCCAAGTTTAATCATGGAAAATAAACAATTTTCAGTTTCTAGTTACCGACATAGAAACACTTACAAAGAGAAATCTTTTTGGATGCTTATTATATAAAAATTGCCAGGGGACTCTCACGTTAATGAAAATGGGCCTAAATCAAGGGTTGTTAAAATTGGCAAGCAAGCTTATTATTTAGATTCATTGAAGCATCATTTAGATTATTGTCTTTTCATTTCATTAGCAGAAAATATACAAAAAGTTATTTGTAAACAGTCGTTTTCAAAAAGATGAAGGAGTGTTTCCATCAGTGTTGCTGTCAGTTGAGATCAACAGACGATGGATAATAACATATGGAATCAAGCAGATTGAAAAATTGAAATCAAAACAATTTCGACTCACCAAACGAGGAAGGATTATGGTTGGTTTTATTCGGCTTGAAATTAGTATCATAATAGCAATTCCAACCATCGATGAAACACTCTTTTGTGTTGGTTTCAGCTTTTTCCTGAAGACAAGGCAGAACTGGGGGGTCGCACTGTTGTAAGTAGTGTATCACCATTAAGACCAAGGCATACTTGGTCATCTGTAATGCGCCCTTGCCAGCAATGTCTTTGGAGTCCGCCCAGAAACGAACAGCGTATGAAAGATATCGGAAACGCTCATCAGCTTCGCAGTAGCTGTTCAGAAGTTTTGAATTGTGCACTGCCAATCTGTTATTAGAAACACAAACTCCATTTTAAGGCAGCACGGTTACAACGTTCTTTTTTATAAGAGCTAAAATAAATCCGCATAGAAATCATTCCACAAAGTTACCTCGATTATGTTTGCGTAAATGTGCATAAGTCAAATCATAAAAGACGGCTGATACTCTCGTTAAAGCTTTATCATAATGACAAAGAAGCTTTCAAAACAAACACTAGAATTTATGTTACTTATTAGAGTTTGTTGAATTTTGCTACGAGTCTAAAAACTCTGTTGGCAGCTCCTTACAGGATTAGACTCTTGCCTTAAAAAGAATGATTGCTTGGTTGCCATCTGTATTCAGTCTGGTTGCAGCTATTCAAAAGACAATGTTGGTCAACTTATCCAATAGATAAGTTTTAATAGCTAACCTTTTCACCGTTTCGGTGAGCAGCAAGTAATTCGCTTTTAGTGTAATGAAAATTCCTGTTACTTCTTCTATTTCATGCTGTTAATGAAATAAGATAAGGAGGTGCTTATTAAAAAGCTCACCTGTTGTTAATACTCAAATCACAATGCAAAGATGAATTTTTATGGAAGAACTTGATGACCGGACAATGTGCCGATTTCAGTGCAAACACATCTTTACAACCAGGGACGAACTTCCGTAGAATCTGGCACACTTCACTGATGTCATTATCAATAGCAGTTGTAGAACCAACGGAGCCAGCATCATCACCAGAACAACAAATACTTTGGGAACATGTATTCTTATGGACGTAGCCTCCTAGATCTTTGGTAACAAGAGTGATATCGAGGTCACAGCCTTTGCATCCCAACTTGCTTACTGTTGAGCCAAAGGGCAAGATATCACAATCTGCATACACTTCTTTAAACACTTCTTGCAGGAGTTCACAAATTTTCCTTCGAAGCAAAATATCTGTGTCTGTTAACTGTTGGGTCTCTACGAGCTTGATTATTTGCTGCTGTACCTGAAAGAAAAGACAAAAACAAGGTAACAAAAACAAACCTAAAGACAAAACATTCAAAATTTCTTATTTTTTATATGACACTTAAAGAACCTAAAATAAATACCAAATAATAATGCATGGAGATGACATGCAAACCTACAACTTAATTTCTAATTGGTTCTAGCAGCCTTAAACATCTGAACACTTATTTGTTGGACCTCAACTTTCTTCTTTGAGTTTCTCATACATATATAGTTATAATAGAGTAAAAGATTTACTTCAATTTTCATCACAATTTCTTGAAATGGAGAGTGGAAATGATATAACTTACATTGTCACAATCATTTAGCACTTTCAATATGATGGTCTGGAATTCTTCTTTACTTTGCCTTTGCGCAATGTTGCTTTTAATATCCTTGTGAGTTTCACTTTCTTTAGATTTTCTTGGTCTGATTACAATATGGTTTCCATTGACAGCAAGTTTATCACCTTCCTTCAATAAATTTTGAACAGAACTCTCTGCCTCAAATTCAACTATAGCATATTTTCCCTAAAGAAAAATAAAATATTATCCTTTTCAATAGTGTCATTGATGGTCCTTGTAAAAGAGCACTTGTATCATATATTACAATAATCGTGTCTGTGTAAATTTAAAAAAGAAACAAAAAGCATTTGCCAAAAAAATAATTAGATTTCCATAAACTACCACAACATGAATAAATTACTCGTTAAATTATGTTCTAAAACAAATTTGCTAAGAATCAGACAAAAACTGGTTTTACATGAATAGGCTTTGAGACATTCTGGTTGAAAAAGATAAACTTATCTGTACAATTTTTCTTTAGATGCTATTTCCTATTTGTCTTGAGCTTTTTCAGATTTATGTATTTTGATTTAAAATTGTATTTACATAGTTTAATCAGCAACCTCAAAGGTCAGGGCTCTACTGATGAAATACAAGACTGGTCAATGTATGTAAAGCTCTTAGATAACTTTAGCTGGAATAATATATGGTTAGAATGGTTCATTTGATTTAAATGGAATGTTTGCAACAAACAGATCTAAGGCCTTTCCTGTCTGGTCAGATCCTCTGCTACCCTTTTATGATATGATCATTAAAGATTTGAAATAGTACTTTTGTAGCAATAAACAATAAATCCCTTTAATGAAATAAGCTTATAATTCCTTGATGATAAGAGGAAACAAGCACAAAGTATATGAAAGTGCATTTGACTAAAATGAAAACTAAATTTACTACCTTTTCTTTATCAACATATATTTCTTTGATGATGCCATATCTGCTGAGTATTTCTGTCAGCTCATTCTCCACATCTGAACCCTTATTAAACCCTCTGATGTACACACTGCAGTCAAGAGATTTCTTCTTTTTCTTTTGCTTAGTCAGAACAAGCTGGTGCTTTTTTCCCTTTTCATGACTAGCCACAAGTGAAGCTTAAAGAAGATAGAGATGTGTGTATAAAATACCAAAAAACATGCTTTGCTTAAAGATTGCCACTTTTCACTATTCTCAAATAAAGCTTACAAGATAAAATGAACAAACCAGATACAGAAATTGTTTATATACATAAAAATAATAATAAACACAACATCTAAATACAAACTACATTGAAAGTATCTATGTTTCATGACATGATAATGGCTTGTATTTTAAAGCCTAAAAAAATAAAAGCTAGAATGGAATTAACACTACTGATAAAATATTTTCTGACCCAGCAACTAGAAACTGGCATATCTATCAATTTCAAGTTCTTATTTGCTTGTTTAGAAATCTCACAAAGGTTTTCTGTATTCAAAATATAAACCACTCTGCTATCAAGCACATAAACCAAGTATATTGACCTAGAAATAAAACTTATGTTGCAATACAACTGCAAGCTTAGGTATGCTTGTGGAACACATTCCATGTGTGATAATTTGTTCCTCAAATCTCATATTGTGTGAAGGCATTTTTTTAATGAGAATAATGTTATTCACTCTGTTGAATTTTAAACATGGTTGGTTCCAGTGCAAGCAGATATGGCAGATAATCATTCTCCTCACATGAAAATATTTTGTAGTTTGTGATTTTGGTTGCTTCAACTAACAGTATTCCTGTGGAACCCCCTTCAAGAGGAAACAACATGTTAAATGAACTGATGATGATGAATGATGAAAGAGCATTGGAATTACAACTTAGATTCTCTCTGATTATCCTCAAGTTTCCTGACTGGTTAAAGAATTTCAAGGATTGGTTGTGGCAAACCCCCACAAACACCTCCTGGTATTTATGTGCCTTCAATTAGGAATTTGGGTAAAAAACTTGATATTAGGTCTTATTTGATATTAGAAATTTTTAGAACTACTACTAAAACTTCTTTCAAAAATTTTCAAAAATTTTGTTTTTTTATTTATAGAAAAGGTCAGTCTGCAAAGTTTGGGTATGTGCCCATTAGTCTGCAGAGTATGACAAATGCACATGCCAGGTCAATTTAGAATGACCAGCTTTGCACACCAAAATTCTAAATTGCACGCAAAATTTAAAATTTTATATAGGAGGCATCAACGGTTTTTGCTTTCCTTTTTGGATAAAACAGAAATCAAATATGTTTTTAGGCATTCAGCGTTTCATGCAGATGCTCAAATAATGTATAATCGAATTCTTTATACCAGCCTCCAAAACCCTATATACCAGGACAAGCACACACAATCTACTTTTACCTAGGGCAGCACTATAGTTGCTGTGGAAGGGTTCAACAATCTTTGAAGTTGGATGTTTCTAGTTTGCTGGAAAATGAACTCTCTGAAACACACTTTTTACTAATGCAACCTTTCTCATAGATGAATATTCGAAGAAAGAATGAATCTTGAGATTGGGACAAAATCTCTGAATAATGGGAACAAAGTCTTGATATCGTGATTAGCTGGAACTCTTGGAAGTTATGAACAAGAAAGGGGCAAATAAGTTACATTGAGGTTTTTGCTCACCATTGGGCAAATGTCTGGTACATAATATGAGCTCAGTAAAGAGCAGTAGCAAGAAGGATTGGACCTTTTTATGAAGTTGTTTATGAAGAAAAAATATCAGAATACAGGCCCTGTTGGTGAGAATTTATTTGTTTAAATTTAATTTATTTTTCATTCCTAGAGGGAGGCTTATTTGAGATGGGGCCTATTTGAGAGGGTGGCTTATTAATCATTTAAAATAAAACATTTTATAAAAATGCTACAATGCTCGGGGATTTCTTCAAAAGAATCAACATCAGTATCCTCTTGACTTATGATCTTATCATCATCACACCCCTCAAGAGACCCACTCAATGCCCCTGTTTTTGTTTGTTTGACATCAGGGGCCAAAGAAGAGATCTTGATAGAGAGGGGGCTTACATCAAATTTTGGCAAATTGTAACAAGGCTTAATAGAGAGGGGGCTTAATAGAGCTTTCACAGTATGTCGATTTACAATGATTTACAGAGATTCATGATCATTTGAGGTAATCTGCAATAATGTTTAACCCATATCCCGTCCGCACATTTTTTCGAATTAAGAATATTCCATGCAGTTACAGCAAGGATTTTTGTGTGAATCCTGCACACAGCCCAGCCATGAGCAGTAGGGGCCCCACGCCACGATTTTGAAAGTAGGGAGGGGGACCAAGGCTTCTTTCCAGGAGTGGCGGCATGGGGGGGGCAAGGGGGGGCTTTAGCCCCCCCTAAATTTTTGTTAGCCCCCCCGTCGGCAGCCAATCAATTTTTGCTTTCTCAATACCGTCGGCACTTGATGGATGTCACCCGGTTTACATGTTGTTTGAATGACATAAATAATCAAGGAGAAAACTGCACTGGCTGGTTTATGGTTTTCTCAATGGCTTTTCTTCGGCAATTCTACTATCATAGTGGCATTATATCCTGTCGCTTTCGTGAAAGCTGTGACTTAATTTCATGGTGCTCCTTCGCATGACCCACAATACCATCATGCTTCTCTTGGTTGAAATCCCTGTTGCTGCTCATGCGAATGCCAATTCATGCGAAACGTGCAGAGATGCTTGATTTGGATCATGTTTTGGACCGTTTCAAGGAAATTTACCCTAACAACAGCAAAATCACGCTGTCATAAATAAAGTCTTTAATGAATTTTCTTCTTAAGGGATTCTCTTTTCGTTTCAAGACATTATTATTGCCAATGAAAACATTTCGATCATGAGCACATTTTGCGTAATAAATTTTTCAAAAAGCACTTCTTGTCCTTTTTCATCAACTATTTTTCAATAGGATTGTTCACCGCATAGCTTGCGACAAACAAATGGTTTAGAGAAAACCATTGATTAACTTCTTCCAACATAGATAGGAAGAAATATTCAACAATAGGCAATATTTGCACATTAAGTTTGTTACAAGGCACAAATTGCCGAGAAAATCTCGTGGACTCCGACACAGGTTGGAAAGTGGGGGCGGGGAGGGGGCAAGGGAGAATTTTGCACCCACAACAAACGATTTTGGAAAAATGCTCTATTGCTTGCTCTATATGCTTGCTTGCTCTTGGAAAAATGCTCTATATCGGTGCCCCTTCATTGGAGGTGCTGCTCAGGGGCGTCGCGACTGGGGGGTTGTCACACCCACCCCAATAGTATCTCAATAGAAAATTTCAGGTAAAATCCGCTCGGTGGAAGAAACGCTATAGGTATGTCAGAGACCTTCCTGTCATAAGATCAGTAAAGGATCAAGCAATCTTAGGTAAAATTGTGCCTCGTGTCCATTTTTCCTAAAGTTTCTCAGTAGAAGCGTCAACTGCAATTCACTATGAGCTCCAGATTTTTCTTAACATTCAAATGGCATGCTAAGATGGAGAGAGGTATCTAAATTTAAAAGTAACTAACAACCTGGTATTTTTCAAGACCACGGCGAAATTGTTGTTTTTATCTGCTGTAAAAAAAGTTTTGCAAAAAGGATTAGGAGGACAATAATTTTCAATAGGATTAGGAGGATTGCTTTAGTGAAATCTGCTTAAAAGAGTGCATTTTCCAGGGAACTAGAAGCATCACAATTCGGAAATTTCCTGCCCCTTCGGCGGCAACCATGGTGCCGCCTCAGGTAGTAACTATATATTTTGCCCGTCCCGATATAGAGATTTGACAAGACTATTAGGAAAGTTGGTTATTATCATACCGAGTTAGATTGACAAAATGTATTGCAGAGGTTTGTGTATTGCAGAAGTTTCAGGCAATAATTTTTTAATCAAATAAATTTGCATTCCACATCCCCCCCCCCCAACGAGGCTTGCCTCGCGACGGCCCTGCCTGCTATATGGGGCAAATCGAATTTTTTTTCTGTCGGCAATTTGACACATCCAGCGTCGGCAGTTACGGAGAATATAAACTTCGGCACCTTGAAGGTTTGTCTCTAGCGCCACCCCTGCTTCTTTCCCCTTTTACTGCAGCTTTAAAACTACTTATATCGCAAAAAGGTAGGGTGGGGGTATTGCTAGGGTGTTAAATTGTTAATGTGTATGCACACGGCCAAGTTTGTTCCTTTAAAATATTTTGTTTAACTACGTACCAACTTTGTAAACTACAAAAATTTGTGCCAAGTCTTTGAAACCTACCTGAAGGTATGTAGCAACAACATAAATCACAAAATACTTGCTTGTGGCGCAACTTTTCAGATTTGTTGCTCATGCCGCTCATTTCCCAGGCCTTCCCGCCATTGACCGACAAAAATACGTTCCTAGAGACGTGTTGCTGTAGTTGTTCAACACCAAACAGAGGCTGGTAGAGACAGTGGCAATGACAGAAACGCTTATTTGTTATTGAGCTTCAGTTTTGTTTTGGTTTGTTAATAAAATGTTGACGAGAGCATTCAAGGAGCACCAATCAAGACAAACTGCTGCTAAAGATGTGCAAGGTAACAACTGGATTTATTTTATCGTTATCATTGGTGCTGCTGTTCTGTTCGCAATATTTTCCATGGCCAGTTTTTGGATGTCCTTTTTTTAATAGAAATAGTCTATAGGGTGGGGTGGGGCACGACAGGTCAAAATTTGGATAATTTTTGTTTGAAAGATAAAAATGTTTTGTCTCATTGTAAATAGTATAAAATATGCAAATGCCTTACCCTCTTTCAGTTTATCAAAGAAAACAAGCTAGATTTCAAGTTCATAGTGTTTCCAGTCAACTGATGTTAAGGCACTTGGACTTCCCTCAATTTGGGGCACAATGGGTCAAGCAATACTACTTCATAATATGATTCTATATTTTGCTTCTAAAGACGGCTTTGGGGCTTATGAAGCGTAAACAGCAATTCAACTTTTCTGAAAGTTAGTATAAAGAAAAAACAAAGAAATGATAACAAAATAAGGTAAATTCAACATACAAATTCCAGAAAAACTATATTATCAACTGTAATGTCAACTGGTTCTAGAACTATCAAGGTTCAATTAATGTTGTTTAAGCAAAATTTCCTTCAAACACTGCAGTTATTGCAATAGAAGTCACCAGAAAGGTCAGTTCCTCCTGGAATGCATTTGGGACAACAGTATTCGTCGGAAATGTCACACTGGGTCCATTTTTCACTTTTCTCCCCTTTGTAACTTCTCCATAGTTGCTGACACATAGTGCATGATGTATCATCTTCATCATCAGACTCATCATCTAAAGGATCTCTATTTTCCTTTTCAAAAGTGAGTCTCTCCTTAACTGCTTTTTGCTTTCTCTTGTTATCCATCTCATTTTGCTCCTTCATCAGTCGCTCTGACACCTCAGTGGTTGTTAAAACCTCTCCGTGTGAGTTCTGCACATGTTTGCGTTTTTTATCGAATTCTCAAGCGCTGTCAAAGTATCTGATGATGGTGCTGGAGCAATTGAATTTATAATTGCTTCTCTAAGCAGTCTTCTTGGACTGCCTATATCATCAGGAGTTGTGACATCTTCTTCAGGGTTCAAGCATCTTCCAAGATTTACTGAGAAGGAGTTAAATGGCCAGAGACCTGATCCTCTGAACCCAGCAACTAGATTTTCAGGGGAAATTAATCCCCATAACTTTTTTAAAAGAGTAGGAAATGACCCCATGTCAACAGCTGACATTCTGCTCTCCAATGACAATGCTTGACAATACATGTGAAATAACACTCTGTGTCGCTAAAACGACAGCTTGCATATTTATCTGGCAGAAATCAAATGTCATTATTATTGATGTAGGTCTGGAAGAAGTTCTTGAGCAAGTGACTGCCAAACAAAGACACTCTTTTAACTACTGGCTTTATGATTAAGGTGGAATCCATGTAGACCTCACACCGAATATTGGCCAGTAAATTATAAATCTGCCCCAAAAGTTTTACATCTTAGTGCTTATGCCAAAAAGTTTTATGATACAATTCATAATGTAAACTATTATCATCCTTTTCACCACCACTGGTTTTTATAAGCAGGCAATATTCTAAGGTATTTTCAGGCAACACAAATACATAAATTTTGTAGTATTGCGCTTGTCAGTATAGCACAAGTCCAGGTCCCATGGGTGCGTTTTGCAGATTGGGTTGTTTTGCTTTTCAGCAACAAACTAATACACTGAATTTAAGGGTAGATTTCATATCACTGAGACCCATTCCCCTTCTTGTAGGGCTTTAAAGGTCGACCCTCTTTTTTCCAAAAATTATTAGCTGTAAGAAAGTGAACTTGGACTGATCATTATAGCACCATCTAATGAAAAAGAAATGGGTGGTGGTATAAGGCTTCTATACTGAAAGATACAGCATAGCTAAGTAGCTGAAGTTTGCTTAAATGAACATGAAAAAGCAAGCTTGTGCTCATTACAATAAAAATTATTGTGCCAACTTGTTATTGTCTATTAAATATATGATATCATGATTTATTGTAACTCAACCAAATGCTCCTTTAGTGAGAAACCATTTTCTTGGTCAATTTGGAGAATTTTGTAAGCTTGAGCCAGTGAGAATGATGTAACGTTTTAAGTAATAGGGAGTTCACATATGACTGAACTGTAGCCTTGTTTACTCTTGAACTTATTAAATTACAATAGGGACTATGTACAAATAACAGCGTGACAATACAAAGAACAAGGTCAACCCTAAACAATGGTATGCACATACACCATGACATTACAAAATGATATAAGAAATTTTTGTGCATCCATTGCTCCTAATTTTGATGGGAAGTTGCAGATCAATAGGAAGATCTCAAAGATAGTGATCTATGCAAATGTCGATAGTTGTCCTCTGAAAAGTATGGTAAGAAATTTCAAGATGGTAAAAATCATGTCATCAATGATAAATCAAAAAGTCTCAGCACATTACAGACCTAAAACTAGTTAGAGATGCTGTGTTATACACCAGACAATAGGCCAATACTTAGGTATATATCAACATCAACTAGTTTTTAAAAGTTACAATATTTTTGATGAAGCAAATTGCAGCTTTGTTTTAGTTGGTGGTTATTTTGAATACTCATAAAATAATTTTGAAATTTTAATCACTACACTTCATTGCTGCTTATTCCCTTTCATCACTGCGCAAATTGGTCATCACTGCACCTTATAATATTGCCTGTTTATAAGTCATAGGCTGGCCCAAACACAGGCAGTAAACTCTCCCACCTCTACATCAACAGTGCACCAAGGAAATTTTGAAGTCCACCCAGATATCTCCTGCATAAGTTATTTTGTAAAATTAATGTTGCAGAAATTAATGTTTGATACTTTGATGAAAATAGGGTACCTTTCTGCAGCTTCACTTGAGGATATACACAAATATAAGTACATGGGGTAAAGCCTTGAAAGCCATATATCCACATGCTTATTCATCATAGTTAGACGAAAGATAAGGGCTGGGAAGGCTACCGTCCCCATTATCAAGCAACATTTACTGAATTTTAGGCACTATTTGTTTGGTTCTATCTTCTTGAAACACAATTTTCTATACTAAGATCTATACTAAGCATCCCTTCAAATTTTGCATTATGCTTATAGACCTTATTTTAACTTGTGACCTAGAAAGCCAGCTTAAAACAATGATGAGCAAACATTTATCTTAACTTCTGGAGCACAGACCATCTTACTGGCTAAATTTTCTTTATTTTTTTGGACTTGAAGTGAAACCCTCCCAAATGATCCCAACTTTTGCTGATGCAAAGCTTTGCATTTAGCTGCCCAGACAAATGAAGAGTGGTGGCCAAATACTCTTGACATTTTGTGAAACTTCAAATTATGACGGCATTTGCAGCCTCTATTAAGAGAATTATTAGCCTCAATCTCAAAATTATGGCAGGAGGACTGCTTTCATGAAACAGCCTTTGGCCTCCTTTTCTTCCCTGCCATTTTGATCTGTCTTTGCAACCTCATTTCCCAGTGGAACTCCAGAAAGTGTGTCTACAGTCATGTCGATGAATTAATGTTTTATACATTTGTAACATATTTTTGTATATTGTATATTCACAGAGGTGAGGAAAAAGGAGGCAATAGCAGCTGTGACTGACTTTTCCCAAAGATTTGTCGAGGTTCTGAATTCTGAGTGAGTGTGAACTTTTATTAAACCATGGTAAAAACTAAGATTTAGTAATGGTTTAGTTAGAAAATTTTATTTTGCCTGATGAAATTGAATTTAAGATCAGCACATGGACAGTGTTTGTTTCATGTGCGAAAGATTCCAGGCAGTAGCCCTTTTTTTAGGGTTATCAAAAGTTGGTGAGGATGCTAGAGGGTTGAAGTTTTCCAAAAAAAATTCAAGGTATGTTTTGCAACCATATCTAAGGCATAATTTTGGAAGCAGATGATGCTATACTCGGCAAACTCTCCTGATGTTTTCATGTCTTTTTTTAAGAAATGCATCAGACCAGGTAGGCTAAAAGTTTCTTAGAATTTTGTTAACTTGAGCCTCAAATATTTCTTAATTTTTAGTGTACCAGAAGAAAGTCTGTATGTAATCATAACTTCCAAATTAAGTTTCAATGCCACTTTAAGCTGTCATTATACAATGAAGATACTACGTTGTATGTCACTTCATAACAAATTTCAAAGCATAATTACAACTTATAATTATTTATGACTTACTATCAACACATGTTTTCATTTTTCTCATTAACTTTGTTTCTTTAAATGTTACTTCAAGGTGTAATAACGAAAAACTTCCTTACTTTATATATTTGTTGTTTAAGAATTAGTAGAGAACTGAAAAGACGCATCCCACATTGGCTGTTTTTGGAATATTCCAAAATATTCCAAAAATGTCAGTACTGCATGCAGGGACTCACAAGTCAACAAGGACTTTCTGTTCACCCCAAATGTAAGCATCCAAGTGTTGATGCTAGAAACCAATTACCCTGTAGCGATAAACCTTTGAATGAAGAGCCTGATTCTCAAAGCAACAAGAGCTCATCAGTTGAATAGGCAAATAATGTTATGAAAATCTCAGAGCCTTCAAAATTCATGGAAAGTCGACTACAAACAAGTTCAAAGCCAAGGCTATTATAGCATTAGAACAAGGAGAGAAAGCAGGGAATGCTGCAGATCGATTGAATGTTAGCATAGGACAGTTATCCAATCCTTGACAATGGCTTGAAATGAAGGATAATATCTTTCATGCTGCTGCAGATGAAACCAAAAGATGTTTAAAGCTTCTCGTCCAGCCAAAAAGTACAATGGACTTTACAAATCACAAAGCTCTCAGTAAGAAGTTTTTAGATGCAAGGAGTCCAGGTCGACAAGTTGATTTTAACTGGTTGTGGAGCAAGGCCAGAGCTATTTATGAGAACAGCAAAGTAATAAAGATGCAATTGTAAAGATACATTGTTGTTAAATTTATAGAAGGAAATCACTGAAGTTGCGGTAAACACAACAGAACAAAAAAAATGACAAGGGGTCTTATAGAGAGGACATGCTGAAATGGCACAGAACGGTAACAGAGCGCTCGATGAAAATTTGAAGTGGTCAAAGTTATCACCCAGCATATGGTGGGTTTGTTCCAGCACAGCATTTCAATGTGGATCAGTCTCCCTTGCCGCTTTTAACGGAGAGAACAAAAGCAAAAAATATGGGTAAGCCAGCCTAGTGCCGGCTTAGAAAAATGTCAGTGCACCCTTCAGATCTGCTGTCTCCCTGAAGGGCAACAACTGAAAGAATATCTGCTGTTGAGAAGTTATCCTGGCACGCAGAAGTGGATGTGTACTTTCAGAAAAATACATGGGCAAACACGGATGTTTGTATTAAGTGGGCCCGAAATACATTTAAGCCTTTTGTTCTAGAGGGTTTTGTTCTAGATAATTTGAAGAGTCAGTTTGCGATGAATTAAGCAGGCAGTGGAAACATTGGTGGAAACACTGGTTCTGTCTGTGGGTATTATGGGTTATCATGTGCAACAGACATCTGGCAACCTGTTTGTGCTGAATATGCGGCATTGCTGAAGGTGAAAGTGCGACAAGAACACTGTTAATGGTAAGATTCAGAAGAAAAATGCAGGCAAGTGGTATGGAGAAGATAACAAGTTTACTGCTTCTGATCATCAGGATAACACAGTGGGTAGGAGAAGCCTACAATAGTTTTTTAGATGCAAAGTATGAAAAGATTAACTGTAAAATGTTTGAGAAAGCAGACTGTCTTCTCACTGCAAATTCTGGTGACAAATAGGTGCAACCTGAAGGCCTACCTAACTACAGTGCGCTTTCAGCTACAATGATGGAGCCAATTTGAAAACTTGCTTGGTTTCCGAGAGCGAGATTCAGGACGAAGCAGATGATGACCATATGGGAAGTGATGACGAAGATATATATATATGATTGGCCAAATGAAAGACGATGATGGCCACATTTTTCACATTTTAAATGAGTGACCTTCAGTTTATCTTGTTTATTATGGCGAAACTTGATGTTATCCAATGGAAAAATTGGAACAGTCACCCACAGTTGTTTAGATTTTCCCACTGGAAAACCGAAATTTTATTATGTTTTACTTGAGAATTTTTACATGGACACTTGTCTTATTTTCCCCCTTCCCTCTGTCTGTGCCTGGCAATGTTTCTTGGATGTTCCTACGTTTTCAGGGTATTTGAGCCTTGTGTTTCTTATTTCCAGGTTTCTTGAAAAAGGACATGTAAATCATTCTGACAGGACAGAGTGCCACGACCTACAAGCTTACTGGCTTGTAAATTACCTTTGTAATCCCCTGAGAGATGCTAGACAGAAGAAAGGGGGTGCTACAAGCAATTATTCCAAGTAATGAAATATAGAAATAAAGGCGGGGCCCCAAGTCATTCGGACTTTCAGCTGAAACTTTTATAACTCAGGTCCCCCTGGTTATCGAAAACATTTATCATTTTTACATCTTGCTATTGTGTTTGACTTGCTGTACACCCTTTAATGGGACTTTCTTGCAGTCTGTGAATAGGCACCCTGTCGCAGTTTTTCCTTAGGACCTCAGATGCCTCCTTTACGCCGCTGAATACAGGGAATGCTGTTCATTGAGGGGGCAAGCTACAGATGTGAGCGTACAGGCACATGCTTGAAGTGAACTGCTTGGGAAAGCAACTAATAGCATTCCCAAGCAAAAATGTATTTCGTCTTACGAAGAGATGTTCTGTGAGAAAATTTGGTGCATTGTCCAACACAGTCACTTACAAAATTTGGTGGGAACTATAAGAGTGGCCTGAAATCAAACTGAAATGGGTCAGTAGCAAATCAGGCAGTCCAAAAGTTCAGAGAGATTTATTTCAGTACTGGAGCCTGTTTTTCTGAAGTATCGGTTCCAATACATTCCGCCTGTAATTTTCCTTAATTTGACGGTACTTCCTTTTTGTGAAATTGTTGACGTGGATGGATAATATTCTTTTTCAAATCATTTATGTTACTCTTGGCGTCACTCAGCTACATTACACCGGTTTCTTTGCTTTTACAATGCTCCAGTAAGGAAGTAGATTCAATCATGCAGGGGCGGCCCCACTTTTTAAGATTGATTTACTAATTGTTCCAAGACTCGATTAAAAAAGATAGAGGGGAGCGCAAATTTTCTTTTCTGTGACCGGAATCGGAGATATAAGATCTAGGGACTGGGATCTTTCCATTGCTTTGCCCACCGGTTGAATCTCTTTCGTAAGAAAAGTGCTGACAAGGTTATTCCTGTAGAAGATATTTTCGACATCAAAGAAGGTTCGCCAAAGAGGCACGCTTTGTATGAGAAAAAGCTTGAGTCATTTTTCTTACACGTGCAGGACTGCAAGGTCAGATAACAGGAGACTCGGCTGCTGAAGGACAACTTGTTTGTATGCAGAAATTTCAGAAACGATGAAGGCTTTGCAGCTGCCACTCAAGCCCCGCAAGGTCATGGTGAAACAGCTTTCAAGAAATAACTTTTCGTACCATTGCTGGGTCGTTACTTTACTTCCTTTTAGAGATTAAAAGAGATTATCAGCCGATTGGAAAACCCTGTTCGTTTTAGCATCGATCATGATATGGCAGATGAATTAGAACAAAGAAGCATTGTTAATAAATTTAAATCCACTGCTAGCTGAAAACCACCAATCTGTTGAAATTACTGTAATTTCACTTGTTGATTTTGACTAGTTTTCTTTTGTGTTCACGTATAACTATAAAATTAAACATTTCTATTCAATAAAATCAAATGCGAATTCTTTTAGTGAGGGTTACAAAATGAGTCTAACATACTTATCAACCATGAGTGCAATTTTTCGTCTCAAAAGGGCGCCCCCCTCCCCCTGTTGTGTCCACCCTATTATTTTAGTGCTGGCGATGTTTCTGCGATCGTGTCTTTACAATGGAACAAAATGAATATAGATTATACTTTTCTTTATCTCTTCAAATCTAGATGCACACATAAACTTTAACAAAAACAATATTTCAAAAATCCTCAGCTTTGCAAGAAACACTTTAAACTGGATTTTCATTATCTTCATTTTGGAGGCCAATTGCACACAAAAGATTTTGTTTTTTTATCCTAAAATAAATAAGGTAGAGATTCAGGTGGACAGCTGCTATCACTTTGATTGACTTAAGCATTTGTTTATGAAATTGAAAGCCAATTCATGCCTAAACAAAGTTTTACAATTTCCTGAGGCTTTTCAGATCAAACAACTCTAATATTTGTTTTTATTTAACAGTGTAGAAAGTGCCTACAATAACCAACGACAGTTAGAGGCTGAAGCAAAGCAATTACAAAATAATGTTTCTCGATTAACAAAACAAACACAACAATGGATTTCTATGATAGACAATTTTAATCACACACTCAAAGAGCTTGGAGATGTTGAAAACTGGGCAAGAGCGATTGAGACTGACATGATTGCCATTGCCAGTGCACTAGAATATGCATATAAAGGTGAATTTTTAGAATCTCAATGGTATCTAATTTACAAAGATTTGAGCAACTGCATTGCATTGTTGTGTCTGTCAACTACACAGACAGGCTTTTTCTTTCTTCATTGAAAACTGTTTGGTAACCATTTTATGGTTGTAAAGCACATGACCATGACAACAAACCAAAACTTAGATTTTGGGATAGTTGGAGGGTCATGGTAGCCAACCTTATGATAGAAGATGGTACCTGATGATGATGATGATAAATGCACATGAAGGCCATTTCCTCTCTAATCAAGCCTGTTTTTTGTTTTTGTTTTTTTCTTCTTTCCCAACCTTCCAGTTTTTCAAATAAGGGCTTCCCTTTTTACTTAAAAAAGAAAAAGGCAAACTGTTTCACCAACTCTGAAAGAATGCATGCTAAAAAGCTAGTAAACTTTAAAAAACACCACAATATGTTGTGAACAACAGGGCATCTTCAGGTTATGCAGGGTTTCAATTCAAAATTGTAGACTGTTGTTCCTTTTTTCACTTAATCATAGATTTTTTGCTAGGTAGTCCTAATTGGCCTTCCTTTCACTGCAATACTTTAACAGTAGAAACCTACTTTTATTGATTCCAATGTCTCTTTGTGTAGGTGATGGACCAACGTGATTGCCACTGGTCAAAGAAAGGATTTCCAAGATTTTTGATATATATTCAACATGTGCAAAGTAGCAAATAATTTAAATTATCCAACTAAATCAAATGTAGCAAATGTAGGTTACATTTCAATAAAACTACACCACTTTTGAATCGTTTTTCCAGATTTTCTGTTCTTTATTTTCTCCATCTTTGAAATAAGTGATGTATAGCATTTAAGGCTTCTTAATTACTTTGTTTGGGCAATGGGATGCGATACCAACTCAGTGGCTTTTCTTTCAGTCTCTTTACATTCTTGTATTCAAGATATATAGGTTGCTGTTTTCAATCCAGTGTTAAAAACTGAACAGAAACCAAGGAAATTGACAGAGAAACTGTACCTTGTTCTTCTATAATGGTGTTGAGCTTAATTGGTTAGTAAAGTTCCAGGAAGTAATTATAGAATTGAACCGCAACCATTTGAAATAATCGGAATTGAAGATAGCTGAATAGACCTTACTGTCCGTGGAATTATAGAATATTGGATATCATTGGGGTTATTCATAAAAAATTATCTTTACTGTTTGTTCACACTCCCTTTCACAATGATATGGTAATCATAGAATTTGAAACTAATTTGTAACACCACTTCTATAACCCATAAGTGAACTTTGATTTCCTGCTTCTTTATACACATTTTTGAATTTAAGGGTGTAGAACCTTTGCGATATGGCAATAACAGATTGCCCTTTGCGATATTTTGGATGCCATGTTTCATTTGGGTACATGTGAATGCATTCACATGTGCTTGCACCCCTAATATTTCAAAGACTGCTTTCTCACGAAAGTAATTCATCTTCATGGTTAGCAAAACAATTCTACAAAAGGTATGTTTATAATGAGCTGTTAAATTTTGTTTTTTTGTGTCAATAAACATGTTAAAACAAATGTTCATAAACTAGAGTTGATTTTGCTTTGTGTTATACTATGTGAGCATTTTCTCATTGAATTTTTAAATAGATTTTCTCTTCAACTTTCCATATGCCATTCCAAACGCTTTACTCTAGTTCAGCATTTGGTTCACTCTTTTCCAAAACAACAGGCCATGGCACTCACTTTCTTAGTAATGTTTGAAGTTTTAGAAATAGCATGTTAATAAACATAAATTTAACCTAAGTTCCAGAATGTAATCTTTTGATCAATATTGAAATGTTGGGGCATTCACCTTTTAAATTCTTATCCTTTTCTGCATAATTTGCCATGGCAACCATTAGAATTTTTATAATTTACTACTTGAGAATTGAAACTTTATTTTGCACACCAAAGTATAATTTCTATTATATGTATAATTGCTTCACCAGTATAATTTCACTCTGCTGAAATCTTAACGCAATGATATTCAATTGCAATCTTTTGTTGAGATGTGGTTAATTCAGTTAACATATTTCTAGGTATTTCAATATGCTAACTTGTATTGTCTATGTCAACTGCTTGGATCAAAAAAGGGTACTAGAAATGTGTTTATCAATGAAACATTCATTTCTCAAATTTACTGTTTTGCGTGAATGATCGAAAGCTTTGTGCAGTTGGGTGCAAAAGGTGCTGATGCGATTGCGATTGATTGCTCACATCAAATGAAAGGGCCTCAGTCTTAAAGGCTCCCAACAATTGGCATGCTTTGCAGTAGCTGTTATTTTATATTAAACAAAATGGGCTTTATATTTTACTTTGATGCAGTACAACAGAGTTCTCTATCACAAAAAAACTATTTTTCAAATTTGCACCACATAACATAAAAGAACACCATGAAATACTCTTCCATATATGCAGAAAGAATCAGTTAAATTTGTCAAAAATTGGGTGAGGTATGGCCAATAGAAGATTTGAAGTTTGCTAACGGATTACTGTTATTTTGGCTCAGTCCATAAAGTTATGAACTGAGACCAAATTACAGAGGTTTGAATTGATGGGGCCAGAGCTTGTGCTCATCTGGTCATATCTCAGCCAACTCGTAATACCTTTAACTGATTTTGCAGATTTAGAGGTATTTCCTGATGCTCTTTCAGGTTATGGGAACAAATTTCAAAAATTCTAAAATATATTTCTGTAACATCATCACTTGACAACTCTATATTATATTGTACTTTAATGCAGTACAATATTAGGCCGCTGTTGAAAATGTAGTTTCAAAGCATGCCAGTTGCCAATGAGCCTTTAAATGCTAAGAGAGCTTCCTTTTTTCCTCTGATATATTTTGTTCGAATATTTGGTTGGCTTATCTTAGTATTTTCTGAAATGTCCAATTGAAAACTATTGGCTTAATAAAACACAAATAAAACATATTAGAACATATTGTGATCAAATCTAAGATCTATATATATAGAAATATAAAGTATAAACTACTTAGTGGTCTTGGTCATGTTTTTTTTAGAAAATAACATCTTCATTGCGCAACAACATACATAGTCCTTGTGATCAAAAGCTTTGATACTTCTAATGATACTTTTTATTATTTGGAAGTACCATTATTGACAAAAACATGTGAAAATACTAGATATAAAATAAGTAAAATGCTTCAGCACTTTCTAATGTATTGAAAAAACTTTATTACCTCAATATTTTAAGTAATTGTCATTTTTCTGGAAGCTTAAAGATTTTTTAAGCCAGACCCTTTTGGTATCTATGATGATAAACAGCAAAAATATCACAAACGTTACTCAATTTCTGTCATAATATCAGCAAGTTTGTCACTGTAGTATTGTTTGACATCATCTGATAGCACCCAGTTTGATGCATATAACTCCACTATTTCCAATAAAACACATATCTTTAGCCTGCTGTTTGCAGTTTTTGCTGTTTCCGTCAACAAAGTACCCCTAATAATATTTATCAACTCTGCCATCTTATCTTTAGCAACTTTCTCCAACAGCAAGCCATGCTTACACATTAACATGTGAAACGTTAACAGGTTGTCTTGAGATTTGTCTCTTTGTTTTAGGAAATCAGTCAAAACAGCATACACTGGAGCCACTAATGCAAGAAGATAATGTCCTTGCACTCTCAATTGACTGAAAAGCTCGCAAAGGAAAGAGGCATAACCTTGGAAAGCTGCATCAGTCAAACCATCCCTCCCTGTGTATTGTTTCTGTAATCGTAGTAAAAGTGACCGTCTAACTAACGCACTCTCTTTAAACTCGTCATCCCAAAGCCTTTTAAAGAGCCCTGCTGAATTTTCCACAACCTCTACATTTTCTAAAATTGAATTACATACTTTATCAACAACGTCGTCCAATAAAGCCGGGAGAATATCGCCATGGGCATTATCTAAAAAATCGACAGCTGCCTGTACAGATCCACTTTGTAGCAATGCCAAAATGTTAACTTTGGCATCTGTATCCTTTACATTGTGCCCGGGTGCTTTATCGCTACTTGTGACTGGATTTTCTCGTCTTCCTCGTCCACGTCCCCTGGACTTGTTAACATTAACAGCAGTATCCATCTTTTAAGAACTCAATAAAAATAAAGCTATGTTTCAGGAAAGAATTGCAAAGCACGTATTGAATAGAATTATTGTAGCTCCCTCCTCCACAGAACCAGCACAGTGTTTTCATTTCTACAGTGTGAAAATATTCTCATTCTGTGAAAGAGTAATCTAAATAGATAATAACAAAAATTATGAACTTATCTACATAAGCATTAAATATACGAATGAATGTCTTCATTTTCTACTAATTCTGAATAAGTACAGGGGTTGTGCCAAGACATTCAAAGTGGGAGGGGGGACTCGAAGTGATACTGATAGCATTAATTGACTGAAAACTTTGAAAAGGGGCATGACTAGCAAAAGTAGGGAGCCATAGATTCTTTCCATTTTTACTGCAGCTTTAGAACTACTTGCTTTGCCAAAAAGTGGGGGCTGTGGCCATCCCGCATTTTTTTTCAAACCATTTTCCAAAATATTTTGTTATTATTGTTAAGTTCTCCCTTGGCCACCCCACTCTCCAACCTGCATCGGAGTCCATGTCTCATAAATTTCATTTATTATCATAAATTTCATTTTTTAGTGCATTGAGTATGATTGAGCTGACAGTTATTTCTTATATTTTTTTGTTTTGTAAGTTACGCTGTGAATGAAACTTGATTTTGCTCGATTTAATCTAATTTTTATCACTGAACTAGAGATGGAGGAATCTGGAGCGGTTCCGACGGGTCATGTGTTAGATATGCGGCTATATCTTGCAACAGTGCTTCCACAGAGTGGCAGCTGAATATCCTTTTTCCGGACGAAAAATATCCTTAGATTTCCTCAAATCTGATTGGACGAATTTCAAAATTTCCTCAGAATCTCATGTGGGCATTCAAAAACCTGTGGACATTCAACGTAAGTTTGTTGCCTTGCAGCCAGGTGTCTAAGTTACTAAGGTCATTGTTGATAGCCTCATTCAGCTCAGTAATATCAGAAGATCGATAGCACAGGCTGGTGTCATAAGCATACATGGATACAACTGAATCCCGGACAGCCTGAGGGAGGTCATTGATATAAAAGAGGAAAAGTAGGGAGCCAAGACACGAGCCCTGTGGCACACCGGTCTCTATGTCCCTAACTTCTGAATCAATGCCGTTGACCCTACAAAACTGTTTACGCCCAGAAGGTAAGATAGTGTCATAAAAATCAGCTTGAAGTTAATTGTAATATTTCATATATATTTTCATATATTTATTATTTCCATATGTCTGGAAACTCGCTTGTTTCAACGGATGTGTTAAACAGAAGGGCTAGCGAGTTTTCAATAAATGGCTGAGCCAGTTTCAGGATGTAGCTAGAAATGTTGTCAACCCCAAACCTCTTTGCAGCTTTTTCTTTGGTAAATGCATCCCTGATATGCTGCACTCTGCCCTTTTCTGTTGATTTGATAATCACCTGACAGAAGGGGGTTGGGAACCTGGTCAATTTTTTCTGCAAGATCCTTCCCCACTGAGCAAAATAAACTGTTCATAGCAT